AATGGAGACATTGCTCCTGTGACAACTGTCTAAGAGGTGATTTCCCTCACTTTGAAAAGCCAACCCATCACTTCCTGTAGCTTTTACTTGACAGGCAGTGAAGTAAAATCTCCCTAATGGCACAGATAGCAAAAACACAACTGACAGCACTGTTAACCCGTTACAGCAGCTCCTCTATCCAAAATGAAAAAGCTTATCTATAAACGGAATACGTAAATTGGACAACAATTTTAAGTCCAAAATCATTTTTTGCCACTTCCTTCTACATGCATATAACAATTCTTGTGTGTCAATGAGGCCTAGAGTTCACATTTAAACACAAGTGCTGATATGTGATGCTTAACTGGTAGCTGTGTTTTAAAGATGCAGTTATCCTTTAAGGGATAAGATAAAGTGCTACGGAGAGGAAACTGGAGAGAGAAACCAAACCGGTTGTCAATATTTGCATTTGTTTCTCACCACAGCTTTTTGGTCTCATCTGTCTCTAAAAAATACCAACTTTTACTGTCACACCCATCTTTGCCTCCAGCTTTTCTTTGTAACACTACACATATACGAATCACATTTAAAGATACAGGGCTAGAGTAGGATTCTGAGCCACTGTGGAACCCAGCTCAAAATGCATGGTCTGCTTATCTTCTAAACCCTAACCCCCTTCCCTCTCAGTATGCTTTCCTTGGAACCCTGAAACCCAGCGTCCACCACCCATGGTGCCTAAGTGAGGGTGACGTCATTAGGCCTTTTGGCGAGGTCCCAGAAAATCTGAAGATCCCTAAGCTCATGAGATGATGGTACTACACAGTACTAGTGCTTGTGAAATTTGGGATCCTCAGCCTCAACGAGGAGCAGAAACTAAAGCCTAAAAAAGAAAACAAATGAAGCCACCACATTTAAGGATTGATAAGCTGCAATATATTAAATTTTTTGTTTTTGGGTTTAGATATACGGTAATGAGAGGTCCTACACAAAAAAGCAGGGTTTCCCCTTTACATCAGGAGCCCCCTTCACATCAGGATCCCTGCTTTCACATCAGTCACGCTAGGAGCCTCCCTTCACATCAGAGTCCTCATCTTTCACATGAGTGACGCTGTGCAAAAATTTCAAGTCACCCCTGAGGGAGCCAGAAGACACCCCATGGTGCCAAGGCAGCCTTGTTGATAAAGACTGGTCTAGAGGTTATCAACCTGTAAAACCTCAGGACCCACATTTGTCCTTGGTTATTAAGTCGCGACCCAAGTCGCACCGCACTGGAACACATGGCATTGCGGTACTGCATGTTTCGGTGCAAGCGATCAAACTGGGCGGGAGGTGTGTTTGGGGTGCCATTTAAATGAATGGTACCGCAACCCACCTCCCGCACCAGAACGAACAGTAGGTGCCATTGATGGTAGTTTGCGATTAAAACACTGACAGACACACACAACCACAGACACAATCTCACACACTCAGACACACGCATACACACGGCAGAAATTTTTTAGGGGTTCAGTGTGGGCTGCTGTGCTGTGACGGGGCTCCATCCATATGTGCATTGCTTGTACAGTTCCCTTGCACTCCTTGTTGAGGTGCGGGGAGCCAGAATGTGACGTCACTCCGGTCACGTGAGGGAGCTGTAAGCAATGCACGTATGGATGGAGCTCTCTTGCAGCCATATCGCCAGCCCACCCCACCTCAAACTGACACTCGGCGCCAGGCAGCATAATTTGGGTACGAGAACTGACAGTGCTGCGCTATAAGGGACGCTGAGGAGCCTCTCACCCAATGCAGTGGAAGGCATGCGGCGACCCACTCGTTGAGAACCACGGGTCTAGACCATTGCCCACATAGCAGTCCGGATCTCCATCGGGCTGACATGCCCCTTGCACAGCGCCTCACTCAACAACTGTTTAGGTGCCTGGGGGTTTTTGATGGGCGCACTGTGTGTGTGTTGGGGGGGAAGTCGTGCCTGTCGGACTGCTGCGAGAACAGCGGTTTCCAGCATGCTGCCAGCACAGGACAGCTTGATGTAGTAGTAGTAGTAGTCAGGGATCCCAACCTGAAATAAGTCATTTCAGGGAGGTACAACAGGGGTGCAACAACAAGGAAGAGAGCACCCCCCCCCCCCCCTGAAGTGATGGCAGATAGCAAAGAAGCTAATGCTTCCTTTGCTATCTGCTGTTTTTTTTAGTGTTCTGACAGCTTCTGCCGTCAGGACAAAAAAACAAAACAAAAACCAGCATAGGAACTAATACCTAGATTGCTATTGGCTATTTCAATTTGCAATAGCCAATAGCAAGATGGCTATTGCACCTGCCCTCTGCTGCTGTCAGTCAGCAGAGGTGGACCTGATGGAGAAGTTGAGGTCCACCTCTGCTGATTGACAGCAGCAGTGGGCGGGTGCAATAGCCAGCCTGCTATTGGCCATGGCAATTTGAAATAGCAATCTAGCTATTAGTTCCTATGCCGTTTTTTTTTTTTTTTCTGACTGATGGCGGCCGGTGCCCCGATGTCAGAAAGAAAAAAAAAGACAGCACGGAAAGGTTTACTCTGCTAGATAGAGCAGAGTAAACCTTTCCGGGAGAAAATGTTTCTCTCCCGGATGTCCGGGAGCCGCTATCTTCTAGCGGGAGACTCCCGGGACATCTGAGAGAGTTGAGATGTCTGAGTAATAGTAAAGCTTTTTCAATACATTTAAAATAACACACTCCTGTACTTTTTCTAAGGCCCCATTCACACTTGGCGATTCGCAAATCGCGCGTATGTCGCGCGATTTGCATTTTGCATGATGTCGCGCGATATCGTGCAAATGCTTGCATCAAAAACGGTTGAATCGCGGCAAAATCTGCTCCAAAAAGGGTCCTGCTGTAGCGACACACGACCCGCGACAGCAGGACCCTTTGCCCCATTGCAAAGCATTGAAGAGCAATATCGCGCGGTAAATAGCCGCGATCTCGCGGGAATTACCGCGCGATAAATCGCTCAATGTGAACTGGGCCTTATTATGCTGCCTGACTGCATATCAATATGTGGCTTGAATTGGGCTTTAATCACAGGTGTTCTGTAAAAGAGGGTTTCTGTTTCTGGGAAGGAAATTAGAAGCTCACTTGCTTGGAAATGTTTTTTTTCTCTTGCACAGTTCTGCAGCGTAACAAACTTTTAATCAAAAACATAAAAGACCTTTGTGGTCCCACTATGTGAAAAGCAGTGCCGAGCTGTATAAAATCGGATCATTTTGTTCAATATGTCATGGCTTTGCAGCTGAGAAGCTAATGGACACGGTGACACTTGTGGCTTATCAGGGGATGGATGTATGAAGGTCAGCCCTATGAATATATGTGGCTTGAATGATGATTTTAATTGTTAGGTAGTTACTTTACATATACAGCTAACATTTATATTCAAGTAAACTAATGGCACTTTGTATTAGACCATTAGACCATTTTTCAGCCTGGATTGTCCCTGAAATAGAATTAATTGTAATGGAATTAATTGGTACTTGAGAATATTTAATAAATATAATTATTTATTTGCAATGGAACATAAATCAAAGGAAGCATTAGCATGACTAATGGTTCAATATTCTGACCAAAACACCATTCAGAAAACTCTTCTGATTAGTATAGCAAAGTGCGCTTTAGTTTCTTGGAGTGTGTTAGCCTTTTTCAACTCTTTCTTATCTGAGTATTGACCAGAAGACATTAGTTTGAATTCTTGACATTTTTTCTTTCTTTCTAGGAAAACATGTCTGAAAACTCTAGTGACAGTGAATCATCTTGCGGGTGGACAATCATCAATCATGAGGCAAGTGACTGTATCCTTTTTCTTTTATCATACAACATCTTCTCTTCCATATCTGTATATGTCAGTGTCTAAAAAAACCCTATAATTTGTTAGATTTTAAGTCCTGCATGGCTGGGGGTATTCTGCATTGCTGTATAATCATTATACAGCAATGCAAAATAGCATCAACATCAACTATGCAAGACTACAAGTCCCAGCAGTGCATTATATTTTTAAGTAGGAATGCACAGAGTACTCGGGCTTGTGAAAATGCCCCGATACTAAGCTTAGATACCAGTGTTCTGTCGAGAACGCCGACGTAGTCGGATTTGCTGACCTCAGCATCTGGGCTTGTGCACAGACCAATATTATCAAGGAAACTGGGTAGGAGGGTTGCAGTGGGTTAAAGTAGAACCTAAGAGTGATGGTCCATATAGTTAGTATATTCATTGAATACGGTTCATTTTAACTACTTAAAGGAACATTTCTGATTGCATCAGCTTCACGGTACAACAGATGGAGTTTTACTTTAGGTTTGAAGGGGAACATGTTCAGGGGCTGCTGAAATAGGAAGGGAAGGAAAGGTGCTCTTGACACAAAGCCATTATGGTCTTTCCTATCTGCAGCTGAAACGAAATCGGTTCATTTACTTGGGTACATTTCAGAGTAACTTGCTTGGGTAATGTTTAATAGTAAATAAACTGTTGCAGAGCACTGCTAAAATCCGGCAGGACACAGTTTGTTCTGAGTTATTTTAGTCTGGTACCTGCCAGGTCCTGGGTTGTAGCCAGCATTGTAAATGCGCTACTTTTTTATGCTGGTGACTCATCTTTTAGTCACTTAGCTGCTGCTAGATTAATTATTTATCCAGCACACTGTTTTTAATTTTAGGACTTCTTTTGTTCACAATTCAAAGAGACTTTCCATATTATACTCCTGCTCTTAGTTGGCCCACCTAGTACTTATGATTGTTCATTTTTAGTATCTTGTCACTGGTTTGTGTTACTCTATATCTTCAATGATGATCCTGATCATTTTTTGGAGGGTAGAGAAGAAAGGACACAGTGTTCAGAGTTACTTCCTGACTGGATCTGGACCATCGTCTCTCAGCCACGAGCTGGCTATGATTTCAAGACTTAAAAGAGAATTATGGGGTGAGTGAAAAACACTCATCCCCATATTTCAAGCCGACCTCTGGCATGGAAGCTGTCGCAGGTCGGCTCTATTGTTCGGGAAGTGAGCGAACACATACCACTGATCGCTGACTTCCCGATCATCTCCCTGCAGAGAGCCGTGACTGTCAGTCACCTCTCCCCACAGGGATTCCCCCCTCCCTTTTCTGATCCTCCAGTGCTGACTGGAGGAACAGAAAGGCAAGGGGCGGCAGAGATGGCTCCGCTTCTAGAGAGGCAGAGCCAGCTGTCAATCAGCCATCGTGGTGGATCTCAACAGTATTGTCGGGATCTGTCCCGGCTCTGTGCTCTCTGCATATAGCAGGCAATAGCCCACTATATATGGAGTTTTGGGTCACTGGAGGACATTAGTATAGTATATGTCCTCCTGTGACCCTGAAGAGAACTATGGCTAAAAAAGGTTAGGCCATAGTTCTCTTTTAAAGGGAAACTATAATTGTGTTGAGTCAGTTTTATAAGTTTGGGAGTAATGTTTTATACTGTTCATACTACATGTATGAACCCTTTTTAAAAAATTACAAATAAACATTTATTACATGACAAAGGATTCCCAGAGTACAGTGGGTTGTCTTCAAAGAGACCACAGCAGCAGTTACGTTTTCAGACACTGGTGTATCACATTGCAGTAATAATGAGCTGGGGCTTGGTGTGAACCCAAAAACTGGGTGACAGCCCCTCCCCCCCCCCCCTCAGCCCAATGAGTCAGGGCAGTTGTGGCAGGGTCATTCCCCGCTCTTCCTGATGTGTAGCTATGGGGTCAGGAAAGCACCTACCACGACTTATGTGGAAGGCACAGCTCATCACTACATTGAAAGCTTATAATTCATATTTTTACTAAGCTCACAGGTTTGCTCCAACCTGTCCGTCTATCTCCCATTCTGACTGCCTTTAGGCGATCCTTTAAGACTCATCTCTTCAGGGAAGCTTATCCCATCTCAACCTGACCACTGAACTATACTTTCTCAAACAATTCATCCCCACACAGCTACCTCCTCATGTATCACTTCCCCCTCCCTGTTAGATTGTAAGCCCTCACAGACAGGGCCCTCCTTACCATCTTGTATTGTATTGTAACTGTAATGTCTTCCTTATATTGTAAAGCGCTGCGCAAACTGTTGGCGCTATATAAATCCTGTGTAATAATAATAATTGTATATACAAATGTTTTTTTACAGTTTCTTTCTTTCTTCTAACAAGGATATGTTTCCTTTCTTTCTTTAGGGTTCAGATATAGAGACACTGCACTCAGAACCTGGGGAAGCTGACCTTCCATCAGAACACAGTACAACTTTTGTTGAAGATTTGCAGCCAGATGCCCCAGCAGAGACACCAGGTAAATGAAGAATACTAAAAGGAGTGTAAAATGAAAAAGTCATTTAAAGTCAGTGAACCAATTGTCCCTTGTTTAATCATTGATAGGTACATGTATCGATGAGGACTCTTTGTCTGCTGTAGAGAATATACGGTCTGCTACAGAAGAACATTTGCTGGCTGCTGAGGTAGGCATGTGTTATAAAGAAATATGGGCCGATATACACTGAATGGCCAGATTATTATGACCACCCCGTCAGTACTTGGTTGGGCCACGAGATGACTCCACGAGATTACTTTGTTGGGCCGCCTCGTGACTCCACGGGATGTTGAAAGGTGATGCAAGGAATCTGACACTGCACTGTTACACTTCTGTTGTCTTGTACCAGTCTTGCCACTCTCCGTTCTGCCCTAACATTGACTAGTCGCTGACAGCCACAATTCGCACGTTCAGACCCAGATTTTCGGCTGACAGTCCAGTCTTTAAACACTTTAACAACAGCTGCTCTTGAACATTTAACGAATTCTGCTGTTTTGCTGATACTCGCTCAATGGCTCCGAGCGCCAACAATCATCCCACGTTCAAAGGCTGTTAAATTGCGTTGTTTACCCATATCTTCAGAAAAAAAATCACTTCTACTGTCATGGTAAACAATCTGCTTCCCTATTTATAATGGTCTGGCCCTCTAGCAACTTCAGCGTGAAATTATAGCTAATTTGCCTACAAACGTCAGGTGGTCATAATAATCTGGCCACTCAGTGTATCTCTTCCATACAAAAATGTTACAGAGCCATTAATGGTGGCAGGTGACTTCATCTACTAAAGTATGGGCATCCTCTATATAGTTCCAGAACATATACAAGAGGGTTTTATGAATTGGTAATGAACACAGCCATTATCTTTTTTGGGCTTTCCTTCTCTTTAGGGTCACAGGAGTACATTTACTACTGACCTAAAGTCAGCAAATGGCAGGCCTATGCCTGCTATCAGTTGATTGGGCATAGCCACAGCACAGTCAAGAATGATGCCGACAATAATGTCGGGATCCACACGGTTTTTCTAATTGACAGCTGGCTCTGCACGTGGCTGAGAGCCAGAGCCAGCTCACCAGCCCCCTCCCCAGTCTTTAGCTGCAGCCAATGTTTCAGGAGCAGACAGATGGAGGAATCTTTTCAGGAGGAGGTGACTGACAGGCATTGCTCTCCACTGGGAGCAGAAACCGAGAGCTGACTGATCAGTGGTCATATGATCAGTCAACTCTCTGTCTTAGAGCCAGCGTAGGACAGCTGCAGTTATCCCACACCAGCTCTATGTATCGGGGATTGTATGTTTTACTCTTCTCTATACTTCTCCTTTAATATTAAGTGTCTTCTGTTTTGTTTTTTATTCGGGCATTGCGTATTGCTCTAGACACTTGTTTGCTGCAACTTAAAACACCATTTGCTGAGCCATAGTAGTATACGCAGATAGGGAATTCACACAATGTCATGTGACAAGAAGCTGGGGTTCGGTATGGAGCCGAGATATAAATGTGAGAAGTTTATATGGCAGTCAGTTAAAGTGACATTAAGGACAAAATTCCCCCACCCCACAGTGCTAATGTAAGTACTTACCTTAAATGACGCCTCTTAATCTGATCTTCTTTCCTGTAGTTTTCAGCTGTCCCTCCAGTCCTGGTGCGGGTCTCCGATCCAGCGCTGATTCCTCTGTCCCCCTCTCCTCTGACGTCCCACGGAGTCTGTGCGGGTGCACGCTGCTCCATAGACTTACCTTGTGTCTCTCCTCGTCTCCCGGCCGAACATCTGAACTGCGCCTGTCCGAGAAATTTTCAGATGTTCGGACGGGAGTGCGCGGCGGAGACACAGGTAAGTATTAACCCACTGAAAAAGTTTTTTTTCTTTTTTTTTTAATCGTTTTGCATATATCTATTGCTTGCTAGCACTAGATATATGGAAAAACATGCAAGGGTTTAATAACCCTTTAAATGCAACACAGTCTTTCCTGGATAGAATTAGCAGGTCACTTCATTTTGTGTGATGCATGGAGGGTATGGATTTTATGTTATGGAGGTTATGGATATTATATTTTGGAGGTTGTGTGTCTTGGGTGGCCTATATCATTAGGCCTGCTTCCCCTCAATCTGTCCAGTGCTAGAACGGCTGTACAGATAGGTCTACAAATCTAGGCAACTGGTGATGTGGCAGAGATCCAATTATTTGTACAGTATCTCCACAATGCACAATTGTTTACTCATAGACTTTAGATCCATTTGAAACTGTCTACTAGTACTTTATGAACTTGGAAGTTGTAAGAAAATGTAGTGTGCTGGAGGGTTTCTATGGCTGACACTACAGAGTGTTGCAAGCATGTGAGATACAGGCACGAACAAGATGATAGATGTAGACTAGACAGTACTGGCCTGAATCCTATCGGTGGGTCTAATGTTTAAAGGAGTTGTAAAGTCCCAGCATACCTATCCTGTTATGACATCAGCATTGTAATAGGAACACATTTTGGAGTTGTTTTTGATAATGGAATCCAAAGCTTACTTGAAAAAATACCTTTTTATGTAGGGAGTTCTGCCTTCCATCTGCCCATCATTGTCAACAACTTACTGGATTTCCAGTGTGCTTTGTATCTCTTTCCCTATTGCTTGATGTGATGCAATCTCAATTTCTCAAGGCTACATATCTCATCATGCATTGCTTCCAGCAAGCAGTGATACTGTTACATTGTTGAGAGGTTGAGTTGTAGTTCAGAAGGCAGGCTCTGTGAGAGTTGTGGCGCAAGGAAGTGTATATTTACGGGGCTGAGTGAATTTGTGTCAGTGCATTGAGGAAGTCCATCCTATGGGCATCTTCTGTAAGTACGTTTACAAACTTCTAGATGGAAATGACTGTTAGGAGTGGGATAGAACGTATGGAAACTCATTCTAGAAATACAGATTTCTTTTTTGTTTTTGATCATAGATCCCCATTAGGGCTGAGTTTGGGAATGCAGGAAGCTTTGTGTAATGCTGTGAGCAGCCAAACAGTACATTCTTAGAAAGGAAAGCGGAGAATTGGCCATTGCTTTACAGCTCCACTCGCTACTAATGTTCAACTTCTGGATGGAGTTGTTAACCATATCTGTTATACTGAGCAAACTTTTAAAACATCGGTCCCTGCCCTCCAGCCATGTTTGCTTCTCAGCTCAGCCTGCCATATGTTCATGCTATGTGTTTTTCTACATTAGGTAGGTTAATCACTTCATGACAGCCTTGAAATAACTACAGATAGCCGAGAACTTGCATAATGCGTATACACAGCATCTAAAATATTTGCCTTGCAGAGAAATATAACACTTCATTGTGCTGTGTTTGGAGAGATTCCATAGGGTACATGCCTCCCAGTCCAGTAACTGGGAGAGTGACTCAGTGGAAATAGCTGACTATATAAACAGTCAGTGAAAACAAGTCCATTATCCTGATACATAATGATAACAATAAAAGATATATTATTATTATACAGGATTTATATACAGTAGTACCAACAGTTTGCGCAGCGCTGTACAATATAAGGAGGACATCACAATACAATTCAAGACAAGATGGTAAGGAGGGCCCTGCCCATGAGGGCTTTCAATCTAAAAGGGAGGGGCAAGTGATACATGGGAGGAGTTGACGAGGGAGCTGGAAAGCAGGAGGTCTTTGGAAGAGCGGGAAAGCAGGAGGTCTTTGGAAGAGCGGAGGGGACGGTTAGGTTGATACTTTGAGACAAGGTTGGAGATATAGCTGGGGGCAGAGTTGTGGATAACTTTGTAAGTGGTTGTTAATATTTTGACTTTTATCCTTTGGGGCGAGTGGGAGCCAGTGGAGGGATTGGCAGAGGGGGGTTGCAGACACTGAGCGGTTGGTTAGGTGAATGAGTCTGGCAGCTGCATTCATGATGGAATGAAGGGGGGATAGCCTGTGTAGTGGAAGGCCAATGAGGAGGGAGTTGCAATAGTCAAGGCGAGAGGTAACAAGTAATTTTGTGGTTTCATTGTTGAGGAAGGTGGAGGCGTTACGAAGGTGAAGGCCACAGGATAATGGAAACTATCATGAGTAATTTGGATATTACTAAGACTGTAAGCCTGAATGTAACATTTTTTTTGTTGCTTAACCTCTTGCCGTCCGCCCGTAGTAGAAAAACGGATGGACGGCACTGCTGCATCTGCGGGTTGCCGTCTCCAGACGGCAATTTTTTTCTGCTCGCGCGCGCCCCCTAGCGGGCACGCACGGGCAGAAAAGACCCGACAATGCACACACCCGGTGTCACACATATAGGCGATCAGCGGGTCCATAGCCCGCCGATCATAAAAAAATAAAACCCCCAGTGGTGAATAAATACCACCAAAAGAAAGCTCTATCTGTCCCCAAAAAAGGGTATAAAATTCATTTCAGTACAGCGCTGCATGACGGAATAAATGTCAGTTAAAGTACCGCAGCGCTGAATACTGAAAAATGGCCTGGATGGGAAGGGGGTTTAACACCGCGGATGTCAACTGGTTAAACTCCAAACTTTTTGCATGTTTTATATTTATTCTTCCAGATTGGCTTATTTTAGGCTCTTTTGTATATACAGTAAGTCGGTATCTCTTCTTTGCTGCTGTTAATCTGGATACCCTAAAATATAATTTTGAGCAGCAAAAATAATGCTACTGCAGAACACAGTCACCAGTATCAGCAGTGTTCTAGAGTGGCGGTACTGTTGGTATCCACTGATGATAACTGCAGCACTACAGTGTTTCTTACGGTTCTTCCTATTAGACACAATCATATCTCGCACACCTAATTATTACTCCACAATCACGATTACCCGATTGTAGTCATTCAGAACAATGTAGACTTGTAATACTCCCAACATGCCGAATGTATTGAATGATCACATAATGTTCTATCCCGTCCTGACTTCTATTTCATAAACTGACCCACTTAATATAAATAGTGTAGCTTTCAAAACCGTTCGTAAGTGTGTGATAAATTTCAGAGATGAACAAATTTAAAAAGTGTTTTTTTTTCAGTACATAACGCACATTTTGTAAGGGTACCTGTACATACCCCCAAATGTCTTCTCCATCACCTTGAAACACCCAATGTCATTCTCCTATATAAATACTAACACTTACTGGTAGTGCTAAAGTCTAGCTCCTTCCAGGCTTTCCCATTCACCCGTATAGCTGCTCATCAAATTGATGGACCAATAGTAAACCATGAATAATGAGAGTGGTGTTGGACTCGGGATGCAGGCCTACGTAGGTATTTGCATTGTACTACTGAAGTCAGTTTAATAGCTTTTTACAGGTAACTGATGTACTTTAGATTTGGTGGTTCCTTGAAGAGAATGTAAACCCTAAGGCTGGTTATACAGTTGTAGATTTCTTTTGTTCAGCCCCCCTGTCCATATTGTAAAGCTAAAACCATAGCTTTCATTACCCTTCTGCCTACTTTCGATGAGAATGGGGGTTGTACTGGATACAATAGATTGTCAGCCTAATTGTGACCACAGATTTGGCTCCTACCTAATTTGAGCTTAATTTGAGCACGACATTCAATGTTGGTCAGCCAGCAGTAAACAGCGTGGAAGGAGAAATCTTCACTGATGGCTATTGTATGCAGACAAGCCTGCGGCTGTATGAATACTCGAATAGTGATGGCACCTAATGTGATGCATTCACTGTTTGGCCGACAATTTTCTACTCAGCTCCTTCAATTTCAAAATTGAATTGCAATGCACCTAGTACATTATTCTGACTCCGATTGTTGTGATAGCGATTTATCCCTTGTCAGACCTCTATGCCTGGCCTGTATAAGCAGATTCAATCACTGTGGACATTCATTGTCAGATAGCTGAACTCACCAATACCGTTTCATCCACAAAGGTTGCTTTATTCTGCACATCAAACAACAGGATACAGCAGATGGATGGTTTTCAGTATTATGCGGTCAAAAGATGATGCCTTTCCTAGGGTACTATGCAGAGTACATGTGTCCTTATTACATGTGGCTGTTAGCTGTGGCCATGACACAGGAAATACTGACCAACAAGAAGAAGGGTGGGGCATACATACAGAGGAAATGTGTCATCACGTGAGGAAAGGAATTCAGGAAAAACAGGTGCATTACCACAAAAGGTCACTAGATGGCAGCATGTGAACTAACATATAGAATGGCCATAGGAAAATGATTAAGGGAAAACACACTATATAAATTCAATCTAACATTAACTTCTATGCCCCATTGGGGCGGCACATACATAGTAATGACTGCTAGGTAAGCTGTACGATTGCCTGCACTGGAAGCGTGGATACCATGTGTATAGTGTAATGCTATCATATGAACAGATCTTACAAGAACATATATAATGGGAGCATCAGGTAGTTCCCATCGCAGACCTCTCTGCCAACGATGTATGCTGAACGTCGATGGCAGCTGGCCCCTCTAAACAGACTTCCGGCAGTCTATAGCCACCGGTACTGTGTTCAGCTGCATAAAGCCGATGGTCAGCTTTACACTGGAATCGATTCTTGCGGCTGAACTACCACCAGATCGCTTCCAGGGGTCAGTGAAGTGGTGCTGACAGGGCCATCCATGGCTCAATTTCACCCAATGCAGTAGGAATCAGCCTAAATTCGAACCGAGTATGGCTAGCTTTACAATAAACTTTTTCTTTTATTTGCTCCCTTTTGGTCTTTTTTGATACCATTGGAAGAATGGTGTTACATCTGTTTGATAAGTGCAACATAAAACCTGTTCTACTTGCCAGGAATTCAGAACTGTCCTGTCTCCTCAGCATACGTCATGTGTTATTTCAAAGAACCCTCCTAGTTCTTACCGTGGACTACAGATTGATAAGACTTTATTTTGTAGAGATCCAAGAGTAAGAGTGGTTGAGTATTTTAGCAAACCACACTGGGCAGTGCTGACACCATTCAGTCCACACAAAAAAGATGTGTGTTTTCATCCCACAACAGGACTTTGGAGCTGAGTGCATTTCTGGCAGATCGACAGGTATTTGTCTGTACATGGAGGGTCTTTAAAAGGATAAAACGCATAAATAAAAAGATAAAACAATTTGCCTTGACATATGCTTTAACAGCACGGGATTATGCAATCATATTGCAATGACTTGAGCGTTGTAACAGCTGGTGAAATAAATGTTGTCCTTTCGTGTTTTAGGTTGGGAGTATGCACTGCAGATCCATCATAATGTATATTTTTGTGAACGTACCCTAGTCCTGAACAAATCTCGGCTCTTTGATATGTAATGATGTTTTTCTGTCACTTTTGCCAGGGGTTGTCTTCTTCTGGTGCAGTGTCTGATATCTTGCATAAAAGTACAGAATGTGACAATGGGGAAGGTATCTCAGTTGATGATGGTCACTGCGAGGCTGTCAGTGATGACTCTGACATTGTCACCTTGGATCCTCCAAAGGCCGATGAAGCTGGGACCCAAGGAGAAGGAGAAGAAGAAGAAGAAGAAGAAGAAATCCCAGAGGATGCTGCTGAAAACAATGAGCTCAACATGAGCTTTTCTTCAAGTAGTCAGTATACATTCAGTCAACCAGAAACCGGTAAGATTCTGTATGATCAAGTCATTTGTGCTTTAGGCTTCATCCACACCTACCAAGCAGGTGCGATTTAGCTATTCCTGCGTCAGAAACTTGTGATTTCCTGCAGCATGAATTCCAAATCTTCTGTTTGCCTCCAGGGAGAGTGATTGAATCCTAACTCCCTGTAATCGTATCACATACAATTACATGCGGGGTGCTAGCATGCTGCAACTTTCAAATGCAGCAGCTGTCATCCGATCATTAACTTGAATGGATGAAAGATGCCGCTTGTAAATGGAAGATTTGGACTTCCTGCTGCAGGAAATCGCAAGTTCCTGGCGCAGGAATACCAAATTGCAGCTGCTTGGTAGGTTTGAATGTAGCCTGACAGAGTAATATCATAGCTGAACCTTTCATTGTACCAATAATGGAAAGATGGCCTTGTCACACTGTTTTTTTTCTCTTGGTAGATCTAAGCTACCAAATAGAATGTCAGTCACACTATTTTATTATTGAAAGCCCAGCTGAAGTTTCCCTTCAGTGTAAATAAATCATCTCAGGGTGCAGCCAGACAGTAAGGCCTTGTTCACACCAAATGCAGAGCAGATCCGGTCAGGTTTCTGCACACGCACGCTAGTCTTTTAGATGCGTTTTTGATGCGTTTTGACGCGTTTTTGGCTTTAAAATGTTTGTTTTTTTAACCAGTTGACATCCGCGGTGTTAAACCCCCTTCCCATCCAGGCCATTTTTCAGTATTCAGCGCTGCGGTACTTTAACTGACATTTATTCCGTCATGCAGCGCTGTACTGAAATGAATTTTATACCCTTTTTTGGGGACAGATAGAGCTTTCTTTTGGTGGTATGCTTGGTGTGAACAAGGCCTAAATGGTGACGATGTTCCTTTTGGTTTTCTGGTGCTGCAAAGAGGTCTACTTCTTTCTGTGTGGATGAAGAGGTCACTGCAGCAATCCAACAAACCCCATCTTCTACGTCAGTGCTAGAGCTAGGCAACCATCAAGGAGTGTGAGCTTTCCTGTTTGCCTAGGTCTAGTCCTGATTGAACAGTGGATGTGTTGGACTGCTGTAGAGTGACCATTGCTTCCACACGGAGAGCAAGTCTTCACCGCAGCTAAATTCTGTCCCAGGGCGTTTAAAAATCTGGAGCAGAAAAAAATCTCCATGAGATCCTTACACCTAAAGTAAATAACAGGAGGGACTCAAGCAGCAGATTCTTTATTCCTTAGTAAGAAGCATGAGATATTTGTTATTCACAGTGCTCATCACCTGTTTAACTTTCTTTCCTTTCTGTTCTTCCAAATTATGTGTTTGTGTTCTTTACAAATGGGGTCCAATGGAGCAGTGAGTAAGAGACTTTGGGTATGGCTTGGTGAACAAAAGCATGTTCTTGTTTGCTACAGAATATTCTAATAGTGTGACATTGATTTAAAATGATGAAGAACTGCTAACACAAATTGTTACAAGCAAAGTTATCCTTTTAATTGCTGGTGCATGTTGACAAGAGGAGGGTTTAAACCAGCTTGTGATAGTGAAGTGTTGCCTCTACACAGCAGCCTTGTTTGCTCAAATGGCATTTAATATAATGCAGCCTGTAAATGAGCAGGTAACTAGAGGACAGCATATTAATGTAGGGCGTGTGTGTGTGTGTGTCTTATACAAAGGTGACTGGAATGCATGACATTGGATATCTAACCTAAATATAGCAGCAATGGGGAGCAGTTTGATATATCAGAAGATGTATACTGTATTTCTGGTTATATTTGTCTTAATACATTTGAATGTCTTTGACTCCATATGCATGTCGTTTTACTGCAAAGCTTACTATTTGTTAGAACAAGTTTCTTCTGATGTTGCAGCATATCTGACCAATTTTTTTGTTTTTTTTTGGCCTCATTGACACTTTTTGATTTGGCCATGAAAAGGAAATTATTGCAAAACCTGTCCCAGAATTACTGTCATCTGTTTGAGGAAATGTAACATTTGCAACCTATTTAACATTAGATGCCTCCATGAGGCCGTCTTCTGTCACATGACCAGGTTATCAGATTTTCCCCATACAGTGAGCATTATTGTGCAGCTTGTCAAATCAGATATGATAGTGTTGTGTGAATTCTTTAATAAGGGAACAGACACAGACTACCAATAGAATGTAAACATTAACAGGGCGATGGTTGATGTTGGTTGTGAGGAACTCACCTTGACAGTACTACTAATACTACTAATATTTAGAATGTTACTTGCTTACTAAAAATCCATTAAATGTTCACTGTATTGGGGGATATGTAATGGAACCCTACCTCGGTTAACTGGTTTTAAAAAGAGGGATCAGACCTTCTCTTTCACGCTTGGTGATAATAATTTGGTGGAGAATAAGTAGTCAGTCAGGGATGGTGGTGTATGGGTTGGTGGCTTCTACAAAAATGTCCTTCACCTGAGTCTGTGTGAAGAGCTAAAAAGAGGACTGCTCCCCTTATGAGTAGTGCCATAGACTGCACAGTATATGGCAGCCTAGACCTCATTGTACAGTTACAAAATAGTAGATGATCAAGCCGGCCAAACGCTGCTCAAATATTGGCTGATTCCTGCTGAATCAGATGGGGTTTGAGCTGTGGGTGGTCATGTCGGTTCCCCAAATACAAAAGCAGGGAGTGAGAATTCCTTTATCCATTCTGTTTACCGTGGATGGGGGAATTGATGGGTTCAAAGTGTATGTATGGCTAGCTTAAGAGTCCTAACAAAAATAAGAAAGATAGCAGTACAAATGGAAAGGTTTCCTTGCTGTTCTTCAGGAACCAAGCCTTGTTAATAAGAAAGAGATTGATACTATGATTGGGAAATAATTTTATGGTCTGCATCAACAAGCTACAGGCTTGTGTCCATAGAATCTGATTGACATCAGCTTGAGACGTTTCAGAATTCATTGACAGTGCATTGACCTCCTGCATGTATATGACCTCTTTCCAGACTTGTATGGGAATGCAACACCTGTTGGTTCTGAACAAAATCCAATAGACACAGACGCTTGTTCAGACTTAATTGCTATGATTGCTGTCATTTTTTTTTACAAGAGTTTAGGTAGAACTATTGGCACACCACTGCCATATTGTTGGATAGAGGAACTTGGGAACTGTGTTTCCAGCAGTTTTGACACAGGGTTGTGGACAGGGATCTAGTGTCTCCACCATCTGCTTTTCTATTTGCGGCTGGCAGAATACCTCTAGATCTACAGACACATGCAAGCTTCTCATACAGCTCTGCACCGAGAGCCTTGCTTAGTGCAGATAACGTTAGCAGCACAGTCACAACTATTTTATTACGTTGTCACAAGTGTGAGCATTCTGCAAAAACTGAGAAGGATTGAAAGGGAGTTGCCTAATGTGGGATCACAATGGTGACAGTGGCTGTGTTACTCAAAGCCGTAGAGGTACCCCAGTCCAAAATATGTAAATGTAAAAAAACAATGTGTAGTGCCTACAAACTCTATACCAGACCCTCTATACCAGGCGCTTGGTATGGATTTTAAGTGGGAACCCCATCAAAAACACACAAAAAAGTAAGGTTCCCCCATTCGCATCAGAGTGCCCCCATCACCATTAGGAGCTGCAGCAGCATAGCAGAGAGTGCCAGGCAAAGCAGTCCTGGATGAAAGCTAACTTCCGCCCTTTTCTGAATGGATCCCACCCTCCCTGGATTAGTGTCACCCTCCCTGGATTAGTGTCATGGCACCCTGGATTAGTGTCATCCTCCCTGGATTAGTGTCATGGCACCCTGGTTGAGAAAGGCTGTTCTAAGCAGATTTAAAAACAAATAAATGAGTTTGTGAGACTTAAAAGAGTTAATAAAAGGAGTCTTTTATTGTTCCAAATCCAGTAAAATTCCATTCAGCTATACAAGTTGACCTGTGTTGCTGTAAATAAAGAGTAAGTATAATGTGATCAGTGTCATGCCAAGTAACACCCCCACATCTTCCCTGTGTGTAGCGTAAACATGACTTGGCCACAGGGAGTATAATTGGTGAAAGTAATGTGTCTTTCTCTCCCTACAGTGTATCCCTCCCAACACAGTGCAGATGAGTCCAGCAATGATGAAGCAAGTGATGATTCTGGTCCCATCCTGCGACGGCGACGCTCTAAAAGATCAACTGTGTCTGTGTCAGAGTCTGAGAATAAGCCTGCCGCTGACCAACCAGCCCAACCTGAGCCCAGAACACAGGCAAAAACAGGGAACAACCTTAACAAGTGCATTATCCTTGGTCTGGTTATAGCTTTAAGCATGGGCTTTGGGCATTTCTATGGTAAATATTTTTGCTTTAATTACATTGTGTAGCTAAAAGTAGAACTCCAGCTTTCGCCTACCAGGCCCACTTTGGGTCTTTTCTGAAAAACATCCTATACATACATTTTTTTTCCTGCAGTCTTTAGTCCAGTTCAGTGACATCATGGGATTGGCATCAATAGTGGGTGGTCCTTCTTCCTGGACTGAGCAGCGCATGACATATTACATATGTAATGACAAAGTCCATGAATACTCTGAGCCCAGTCTGCACGATGATGTACCCTTAAGAGGTGAGTCCATGACAGCCTGGGCTCACAGGAAGTGGGTTGAAAGAAGTAGGCCATCAGTCAATCCATAAGACAATAGAGGAGGAAGCAAGGGTCAGCACTAGAGTATAAAGAGGGCGAGCAGTGCTTGCCCACATTTGTTTTTATACAGGGGATGGGCCCTATAAATAAGATCTGCACAGGATGTGCTCTCTTTTAGTTAATATTTGCCCTGAGAGGAATAGGCTAACATTGCTGATCTCCTTCTAATAAACTCTAATTGCCTCGCTATCACTGGCTCAATTCATTTCTGAGGTGCTGATGCAGAAGAAAACAAAAGACTTGATTTGCCTACTTTAGCAACAGATAACCAAAGCACTGCTGGAACCCTGTGAGCGGCAAACACTTCCTGGCCTAGGGCGGGCCATGACAGAACACAAGGACACACGCAGCAATTTGAGGGCTAACCTATCCACTTGCAGGTATCACAAGGTTCTGCACTTCAGCACTGTGTTTTCCTAGGTATATTTCAGGCTAGGGGTAGGCAAGAAATCCCATCATGCCTCTGTCTCTGGGAGTCATGCCTGTGGCTGGCAGAGTCTTGCACTGCCTCATGGGATATGTAGTTTCACAACAGCAGGAGTGCCAAGGGTGCCTACCCTGTTTAAACCATGCCAGGTTTGCAATGTGGCCAGAAAAAGCCAGGCATTTAAGAGGAGTATGTCAGCTGCCATATGGTAGAGTAAGTAACTTGCTGCACTCCGCACCGCGAACAACTCAAAATCAGCAAAAATGTCACCAGCACACCAATAAGATTTCAGCAAAAGTCCACTTTATTGACCATTTGCCATTCAATTACTAATTGAATGTAATTGAATGGCAAATGGTCATTAAAGTGGACTTTTGCTGAAATCTTTTTGGTGTGCTGATGACATTTTTGCTGATTTTGAGCTGTCATATGGGTCTCATATTTCTTTCACGACAGGTTTTGTTCACTATATGGATTTAATTTTTTTTTAAAGTGTTATCGACCAGTCTTAAATTGCATGAGACACTTTCTTTTTCTTTTAGGTACCATTCAAATAATAGAACGTCAAAAATATGTGGAACATGTCCATGAAAATGAGCTAAATGACATGAAGGATGACTTGGTTCAGTGTCAAAAGGATCAAGATGCCACAGTAGACCAGAAAGTGAGTCCAAATAGTAATACTATACATTCTTTGCCACGGTGACCATGTTTTTGGATTAAAAGTGTTTTCAACCTCTATGTTAGACTTAGTTCATTGACGTGGCATTAGGACCCAACACTATGACTTTTGAGTTGAATTGGCACGGTACATTAGTTCTAAGTGGTGCATTACTAACAGTTCTTTCAAGTAAGGTCAACAACGGTTAATTAACATAGAATACACTTCCTGTCCAGAAAAACAAGTCACCACCTGGATTTAGCTAAGCAAATAGGTTAGCGCCTTCCATTGGATAGTAGGTCTAGGTTCAGCAATGGTATGTCCCCACAAATTGAGGTCTGCTGTCCACCTGCATATACTGAATGATTCGTTTTTGTCATCAAGGGATTTTTATTTTCCTGATGGCACGGGTATATTCCAAGATGACATTGCCAGGATTCATCGGGCTCAAATTGTGGAACAGTGGTTCAGGGAGCACGAGATATCATTTTCACACATGGATTGGCCACCACAGAGTCCAGACCTTAACCCCATTGAGAATCTTTGGGACACGCTAGAGAAGACTTTATGCAGTGGTCCGACTCTCCCATCATCACTACAAGATCTTGGTGGAAAATGAATGAAACTCTGGATGGGAATAAATGTTGTGACATTGCATAAGCTTATCAAAATGATGCCACAGCGAATGTGTGCCGTAATCAAAGCTAAAGGAGGTCCAACTAAATAGTGTGACTTTTTTTTTTTGGACAGGCAGTGTACGCAGCCTTTGATCAGATGTATGTCTAAACATTTGTTATTAACACTTTATTATTTAAATTGGTCTCTAGATAAATGTAAATGTTCAGATTTAGGGGAACATTAACTTGCCGTTCATTCCCTTGAATCTTGCGGCACATTAGACCGTTATTCTGATAAGTTTGTAAAAGTGATACAAACCAGTATAATAGAAAGCTTTTTTATTTTATTTTAAAATGTATTTTTCTGGAGGTGGTGGGGAAGCTTACAGAAGATCTAGAGGAGAGAGAAGATATGGTACTATCTCTTGAGGGGCTCATGGATAAAATAGCCAAAGAAAATCAGATGCTCAAGCAAAAACACACCGAGCTAAAGGTATCGTGTCTGTTATTCTTTAGGTCATCTCTAGTTGCTGTCCTGTGTGAATAACCTATCTGCACTGCTATTATAAACTCAGGGTTCATATAAATGTATTTGATTAAAAGGTACGTTTACTTATCTAACCATGTCTCATGTTACAAGCATAGGCTGTAACATGAAACATGGTTACATCAGGTTACATCAACAACCCCCCCATCCTGCCCCCCTATTTACCTTCATTGCGGGGTCCTTCTCCCCGCAGGCTGCTGTCACTTTTTGAATTTGGCTTGGCTGTGTGTGGCGCCACTCACACAGTCGCGTCATTCATTCATAGATCCATTTACAGGATCTGTGACTGGGGACCGCAGCAGAGGGACTTCTAGTTCTCAATGTAGTACAAGTGTGGTGATATGACGGCACTTATAGTGCATTCATAATTCCTCCTGAAATGTAACTGAAAGTCCATACCTGGGAATGGACAAGGGCTGGGAGGAAGAGTCTGCAGGAGCATTGCACCACTATCCACTAATTACAGTTGCAAGGCTTTGCTGGTTCAAATGCTAAAAATAAATCTATAAATAAATGTAGATCGTTGGGGAGAGCCCTCCGCACACCTCACAGCAGTCCCGGCCAATTAAGGGATGATGGTGCTTGCAGCGACTTGATTCACGGATGGCGCTGTGCAAACACAGGAAAAGGCAGAGAATCCTTATTGAGTGCTGGTGATTCTCTGCCTTTTTCTATAAATAAATGCACATTTTGTCTTGTATTAATGTGTGCGCAGACATTTTGTGCACATTTTATATTGTAACAATGTTATTTCTATGTAGAACTACTTCTTAAAGTGACTCTAAACTCAGGAGCTAAAGCTTAAAAATACATTCAAGTACCTTAACTATTAACAAAAATGTATCTTATTTGTGTATCACTCGGCTGTAGATCCTCAAATCATCTCTGTGTGTGTTGTAAAGTAGCCACTGCTCCAAGCTCACTCCCATGTTGGACTACAATCTCACATTTAGTTTACTCATATGTGTTTGAGATTGTAGTCCCTTCACTTCCTTTGCTGTATACTCAGCAAGTGAGAGGGTATCTTTCTAAGGTGAGGGATGTCCCCTCTTAGACAGTTATCATGGGAACAAGTATTCCCATTGGAAGATTTCACCTCTTCCTGTTGTGGTGGCAACTCAAAAGTGGGTGGATGTACCCTCAGGACAAATAGTGAATCTCCTGAAATAGAAACACACACAGCAATAAAAACCTGACAGTGGTTCTAACGTCTCACCAATCTATCCTAATCAAGAAAAAAATGTGTTTAGTCATACTTTATGTATACAATTAAACGTGTTTTATTACATCTGTTTGATAAGCGCAAAAAATACCCGTTGACGTGTGTTGTCTGCCCATAACAGGGTTTAAGAACAGAGTGCATTTCTGACAAATCATTGGGTATTTTTCTGCACTTGCAGGGTCTTTAAAGGGATAAAACTTGGGGGAAATGTGCAGTTATATTGCTTAAATATATATTTTGTTTCACCTGACATACAACTAGTACTCCTGTCTGTTAGTTGTCAGATATATTTTTCCGGAAGTTTATTTAGTATTTAATATTTTAGAAGACAAACTATTCTCCAATTTTTTTTTAGTTTAAGGAATTGCTTGGAAAGCAGAGATACACATTTAGCTTTTACTGGCAATAGGCATACACACTTTAGGGGTACATGAATGTAACTAGCACACTCGTTATAGTGCAGTGTCATTATTTCTAATTGTAAAGACGTACATAAAGTTGAACAGAACAAGCAGCCGAATCACTAAGATACATCTGACATATTTGCTTATCGCTCCTTCACTGGCCAAAGAGTTCTGATCAGGGGAGTCTGGTTGTCTAGAGCAGTGGTTCCCCAGGTTTTATTTATTTGTATACCCCGTGGCAGTCCATTTGTATAAACTGTACCCATCAGTGGGCGTTGGGACAGGGGGCAGGGCTAACAGTGAAGCATGTATCGTGCCGTGCTGAATGGTAGGTGTGGCCAAATTGTGCAAATAGGAGGAGCTGACATGCCACTGTCTGTGTCAGTCGGATGGAGCTGAGGTGGGGGTTCTTTGGGGTATGTCATATTGCAGTGGTGTGCCCAGTGTTATCTTGGGATCTTTTTGAGGTGCCGTCTGTGACACTGGATTCCCTGGATCTAGGGCTCCTTGTGCTTAAGAGATGTGAAGAGCACATCATTTAGCTGGGGACTAACTGAGGTGTTGGCAGCCGGAACAAGACAAGGATTACCTTCTATACACATTTGGTGACTGTCTCCCCACTGCCACAGCCTTTTTCCACCATTACAAAAATATTTTCAAGTACCCCTAAATGTGCTTCCAAGTACCCCTAAATGTGCTTCCAAGTACTCCTACATGTGCTGCCAAATTTGTTTTCAGCCTGAGGATAATATGGAAGACATTGTTGATTTTTAAATGAATATCTTCCAGTATGAGCAAGATGATGTAAATAAATTCTATTTGGATTAGATTACATTTGATCAGTGATTCAATGCAGTGGAACACCTTCGCCCCAGCATTCCTTTAGTCCTGCACACTTTCATGATTCATGAAGCATAGATGTCAAATTTGTGTATTTGATCTTGGGGTCATTTTACACAGGACTTGAATGTGCTGCCTCTATTACAAGTTGAGGGGTTAAGGCAAAGAGATCTCTGAGTTGATTTACTTCGTTAATAATTCACTTCTTCCTCCTGTATCTAGGGGGCAGCACTGAATTATTCACAATGCAGCACATGAAGAATTTAACATAAGTTCTTAAAGCAGTGGCAATGATCACACGTTTGGCTGAACACATATCATATTGGGAAATCTATACTATATACTTGGAAAACGATATTATATCAATATGAGTTCATGTTAAAAAAAATTATATCATTTCAAATAGTCAAAAACTTTCAATCAGATGTTTTAAAAGTAACTTTACTTTATTTTGTATACTATGGAAAATTAATTTAATTGGCTATTCAGTTGAATTGTTTAATCTAGAACAGTGGTTCTCAACCTGTGTAACCTCAGGACCCACATGTGTCCTTGGTCATTAAGTCGCGACCCAAGTCGCACTGCAACGGAATGCACGGCATTGCAGTATCAGGCATTTGGGTGTAGGCAATCAGACTGTGGGCCGGAGGCGCATTTGGGGTGTCATTCAAATTAATAGCAATGCAACACACCTTCCACACCAGAACGCCCAGGTGCGACTTTGTTGTACAGTGTATTAATCGCATGGGACTGTGTGATTAACGCACTGTACTAGTCTGAACAGACCCTGAAAAACACTGACAGACACACACAACCACAGACACAATCTGACACACATTTAGACATTCTCACACGCACATACACACTCCCCAAAACATTATATATATATATTTTTTTTTTTTAAGATCCACCTAGTCTCCCTACCTTATGCGAACTGGAGTGGATCCTCAGCTTGGGGTCCAATTGTAGGGGGCTGTGCTGTGACGGAGCTCCATCCATATGTGCATTGTTTGTACAGCTCCCATGCGCACCCTGTAGAGGTGTCAGGAGTCAGAATGTGATGAGCTGTAAGCAATGCACATATGTATGGAGCTCCCTTATGGCCATACTTCCAGCCCACCCCACCTCAAGCTGACACACTTTCATCTAGAAAAGTGGAAGGCATGTGGGGACCCACTGAACATGGGGTTGCGACACACTTTTGGGTCACGACTAGGGTTGCACAGATACCAAGTACAGTACTCGGTACAAGTACGAGTACATGTACCGAAAACTTTTGAGCTCCAAGACTAGACTAGAGAAAAACTCCAAAGTTAGGAGGCAGCTGTCATTTGTAAGGAGCACACGGAGCTCCTGGGATTTGTACATCGATGTTTTAATGTATGGTTTTGTTTTTATAAATATAAATAAAGGGATGCACAGATACCAGTTTTGCGAGTACGAGTACTGGTACTTGCCGAGTACTTACAAGTATGAATACTGATACATTTTTGTTTATTGTCATGTGACAGTTTTTCTAAAACAATACAGACTAATGATTTCAGGACAATGGCGGAGCGCCAGAGCTAGGTCCCAGCTGCAACCGCTGCAACCCTGGTAGTCCTCATGAAAATGCCCAGTATCTGCACTGGTACTCGAAAAGTATCAGTGCATCCCTAGTCACGACCCACCAGTTGAGAACCAAGGATCTAGAACATAAGCAGTATATTTAAAACTATATGTTTGCAAGTCTTTATGGGCATTTACTTCTAAAATATTTTCTCTGTAACAGTGCACAATGTAAGAGTGGATGAAAAAACAGACACACACAAAGTGTATTTCCCTTTGTATATTGCAGTTAGACACGGATGACCTGGCAACTAGCTTAAAAACAACAGAAGTGCAAAATAGCAATCTTGCTCTGGAAAACAAGCACCTTAGGGAGTCTTTAGAAAAGGAAGAACAAGCTTTATCTTCTCTTAAAGAAGAGCTAAGAAAATTGAGAGAGCAGATTAGAAACCTAGAAGAAAATGGAAGGCATGAGACAATACAGTCAGAAAACCAGAAGCTGAAAGAACATTTGAAAGACGAACGGCAAAAGATCCGCAGTTTCCGAACACAGAAGGAAGCTTTGCTAACAGAAGCCCAATTTCTCCGGAAAGAACTTGACAACGAGAGGCAAATTACAGATTCTCTGAAGGTAGAGCTTGAGGAGATAAGTAATAGGAGAGCATCTGGGGTCACCCATGAGGCTGTCAAGAGCAACCAAGAAATTGAACATTTGAAGAACCGACTTTCTGAGTTAGAAAAGAAACTCAATTTTGAACAGCAGAGGTCAGATTTATGGGAACGGCTTTACATCGAATCCAAAGAACAAAATGAAAAACAAGATGGTAAAAATCCGCACGCTCATCAGCAGTCAGAAGATTCTAATGAAGGCAAATCAACAAACAAACAAAAAAAGAAAGGTAAAGCTACATTTTTCAACTCAGTCAAAGATACTTTTGATGCAGTGAAAAATTCAACCAAAGAATTTGTGAGACATCATAAGGAAAAAATCAAACAAGCAAAAGAAGCCGTGAAGGAGAATTTGAAGAAATTCTCTGATTCGGTGAAAACAACATTCCGGCACTTTAAAGACTCCACCAGAAGCATGTTTGACAAAAACCGCTTCAGAAAACATGCAGATAGAAGAAGGGAGGAAACCAAAGAAGCACATACTGCACGTCAAGAGTTCAAACCTGGCTTTGCAAAGAATTTTCCCAACAAAGCAACAGCCACTGAACACGCGTACAAACACTCTCAAGGTGATCATAAAACTGAGGACTTTAAGGATGCAACCAACCAGCCATTGAATGATGACGAAACAAGCAAAAGCCACCAGCAAAAGGGTTGTTCTGATGTTTTTGAGTGTGCTCACCAAGAATCTATTAGTCTATTCAACAAGGTGCTGGACCCTGTGAGAGTAGAAGAATTCCACGATTTAATGAAAGTATATTTACAAGAGCAAGTGGATCATTTCCGCCACTGGAAGGAACTAGAGAAGTTCATTAGTAAATTTTTTCATAATGGCGTTTTTATTCATGATCAGATGCTTTTTACTGATTTTGTGAATGATGTTGAAGATTACCTTGAGGATATGAAGGAATATCAGACTAACACTGGTGGAGTCTTTGAAGACCTTGATGAATTTATTTACAGACACTTCTTTGGGAGTGCTTATTCCACACCATATGGACCAAGGTTGGTTTATGCATAATGCTTTAAATTGTCAACATATGGGTTCTGTCACAGACTTTAGTATGCAAACTAATATCAGTACTAAATAGAAGAACGATTATTTTACTAGTTGCACCTTTACTTGTCCAAATAGTTAAGCTTTGTAGTCCATGACCTGACAAACCAAGCTGTATTCTGCAGCAAGAGCCAAGGACTTTCTGGAGGCCTTCCCTGCCATTCCATTGCCTTAGCAGTCAGTGTGGAGCAAACTCATTGGATAGGGGGTCAGTAAGGGATTCAGAGTGTAAATTAGTTTTGGAGACGCAGAACGATTTAGCAATAAAAACAGACATAACTAATAATAATGAGTACTGATTAGAGAGGAACGAGTTATTCAAATTTCATTACAGTGATTTTTTTTTTTGTGATGGGCAAGTTGGCTAGAAGGTCCCTTTTGTCTGTAGTATTTCTATAATTGGAAGTGTGCCCAGAAAATGGGTAAAGAATAAAACTGATGAAAAAAGAGGGAAGTGGTTTTACATCAGGAGGACATAGTCATAGTAGCAAGATAACGGTTCACGTTTCATGTTCAGTTTCTACAGCATGGCAACGTCTAAACATGAATCTGTGATACAGCTTTCCCCAAAAGTTGTGTTCCATATCTATAAGGGTAGAATTGAACTCTTTAGACAGCAGTGTTCCATTTGTGTTAATGGTCACCCAAAGACCATGCAGCACATCTAATATTGCAGCTCCTAATCTCCTACCTCCAAAACCTAAACATTTTCAGATATCCTCTTTGAATGCCCAACTGACTTCCAGTTGGAGTGTGAATATATAAAGATGCATAAAGGTAAGTGGTATGTCATTGCATAAGGTGCATGTTTTCTCTTTTTTGGGGGGGGCGGGGGGAGGGGGCTGAATTAGCTATAATAACAGTCATGGTTGATGTTGGTGGCCATGATAAGTGTGGTGATGACAGTGTGTAGAGGACAGGTTTATTATAGCCCAAAGTAAGATGGTTATTGGCAGTGGCATCCGTACACTAACAGACTTTATATCAGTATATCAACAACTAGTAGAGCCCACCTGCCTCTACAATGCTGGTATAATACTGAAAGGAACCAGAATTCCTTCCACTCATATTCTTTCAAAGATTTATGTAAATATATATATAATCAGAATATTTTTTTTAAAGCATGGTGCAGTGCAGCAAGTGCTAGAAAAGCAGCATGTACACTTATTACTAGCAGGAGAACATATTCCAAAGATTCTTTTTCAGGGAAACCTGATAATACGGAAGCAAATGCTCCACAAAGACTAGGAAAAAAAAACAGTCCCTTTTTGAGCCTTTATCTTGATTTGGCTTGCATACAGTTTAATATCTGACACATATGTATTTTACTTCTCTTTAGATGGTGCAGTGTCTAGGTTCTAGAAATAGGCAGGGTTTAACCAGTTATTTCTGAACTTCAAATATTGCCTGAATACACAAGACATATATTCTTACTTGAATCTTGGTGAGCTTTGAGTATTTCTTCCAGATGTGTGCAGGAATCCAGTGTGAAACTTTGCCTTGTGCAGGAGCTTCCTGTAATTAAGACCGGTCACTGCTGTTCCATCTCCTTGTGCAGGGTGACTGGTCTTGTATCTGCCCCGTCCTTTAGTTTTCTACAGGCAGTGTAGGGCCTGTGTGTTGTAGTGCACCATGTTGCTGAAAATGGTGCATGCTTATTTTCTGTTTAACTGATCAGGTACACGCTCAGTCACAATTTCAAATCTCCCTAACCCTCCCTAAAGTGTGTGATGCAGAAAGTATTACAATCATGGTATTAGCACGAGAGCCATGCAGCTAGCATTTTTAGGAGTTCAGTGGTGGCAGTCACTAATTTCCTGTCAAGAATAAGCTATCTGAAGGCCATAAATGTACATTTCTAGTTATTCTTTTTTTCTTGTTAAAGGTTTAATAACATTTATGAATGTGTATGGAAAAGTTTAAGTTGCACATCTGATTTAAGAAGTATACCCCGTACAAAAAACCATCCATGGCTACTTTTAAAGCAGAATTCCGGTTGGCCAGTGATAAACAGAAAGAAATGGGCACTGTGTTACCTGCTAAATGATTTGTAATATTGTTCAGCCAGTCTTGTGATTCACAAACATCTGCCACACTTAGCCAGGAATATGACGCCACTGTTTCCTGATTCATCTTTACTGCTCCATGTGTCGCCAGTCTGCTCATTATACAGAGGTGACCGTCCTGATTTATTGTCTAGTTAGTAGGCTGGAGAAGGACAGAGAGCTCTGAAATCCGCAAAGCTGAACCAGTAAGGGGAGTCCATACAGATGTGGCCGCCATGACCATTCAAGTGAATGACAGGCTAACAATGGCCGTATCGGTCTGTGGCTGTCCGAATGTTATTGTACCTGGAACTATTATCCGCGGATCTGAATAGAAGATTGCCCTTCTACGCAATCAGTCTGCATCTAGGGACAAGCATATATCCCAATCTGCACAGCATGGACAGATGCAGCCACTGTCATTCACTTGAATGGCCATAAACGGCCGCATATATATGGACACACCTGGGATTAATGCCACAAAATCCGCAGGTATCCCCAGATTTACATAAAATCCCTGTGTGCATGTAGCCTAAGACTATAATAAGAAAAAAACTCATCCTACTTACATTAAGTCATACCAACTCATCCAAAAGTGAGATGCTGGCCCATAACCACATAGAACTCACAAAAACATTAACATCTGCAGGTTTAGGAAAGATGGTTACACATAGGCCAGTATCTTTTTGCGTTTTTACATAAAAAAATGTATTACAAAATAGATAAATGTACATCTGCTAAATGACCACATAATAAACACTATGACAACATTAACTGAGTTCAGATGACCCAAGGGAGCCTCAGCCTGTTACTTTAAAGTGACACTAAACTCAGGAGTTAAATCTTATAAATACATTCAAACACCTTCACCAATAACCAAAAATGTATCTTATTTGTGTATCACTCGGCTGTAGATCCTCAAATCATCTCTGAATTCATGCTGACAATGTCCTTCTGGAGGGGGGCTACATTTGTTCCCCATGGTCCCTCTGTGTGTTGTAAAGTGGTCACCGCTCCAAGCTTGCTCCCGTCATAGACTACAAATAAAATAAAGTTAAGTTTAAATAAACTAAACCTGAGAAAGTAGTCCATCACGGACGCGCTTGGAATGATGGTTACTTTACAACACACACAGGGACCATGGGAACAAAAGTAGCCACCCTCCAGAAGGAAGGACAGTGTCAGCACCAATTCAGAGATGATTTGAGCAACTGACCTAAAACCGGATCTGCAATTTTTTTTGGGTATCACAGAGCACTGTAGTACCTTATCGCATGGTGTGCAGCAACACGGGTACATTGGGGTGCCATTTACTATGAATCTCACCGAAGTGCACCAACATACTTGGAGGTCTATTTAGAAACTATTTCTAGAGCCATTGACCATGTAAATATCTGTGTTCATTCTGTGTGAAAGGATGCACAAAACGAATGTGTATAAATACTTATTTCTTAATCGTCCAACTGGGGACACATCTCTAAAGAATTCTGATATGTAGGGCTATGCTGCTGCGTCTAGGAGAAATGGACACTAGGCAAAAAAACTCAAAGCCTACTTCTTTAAGGACATAGCCCTTCACACCTCAGATCTGCCAGCTTCAGGTGTTTTGGATTCTTGTTCTTCCTGAAGGTCCTAGAAAAGGTTGTGCAGCTTGTAGATCTGCTGTTTCTAAGTGGATGTGTTATTTTTCATTCAAGCTTATGAGTTGTGGGATAAGGTTCCTCCTTTTGCTGTTTCTGCTCATTCTATTAGGACAGTCAGAACCTCTTGGGCATTTCAGAATTAAGCTTTTATTACTCAGATTGCAAGGTTGCAACTTGCTCTTGTTTTATAAAGTTCATCTTTGTGCCTCTTCTGATGCTAGATTTGGCAGCAGTGCTCTTCAGGTGACTGTTTGAGTATTTGAGATGGTGCCTGACCCTCTGTTTTGGACTGCTTTTGAATGCCCCTACATCTCGATATTCTTTAGAGCTGTGTCCCTCAATGGACTCAGAAAAGGATTTCACGGTAAGAACAAAACCCTATTTTGCTGTGCCTCAGCTTCATCTAGTAGCCATAATGCGGTATTACAAGATTCGAAAATATAACAAGAATGTTCCTTTTGTGCATCCATTCGCATGGAACAAACATTCACAGAGATTTGCAGGGCCAGTGGCTCTGCAGATTGTTTATAAATAGACCCCTTATTGTATGCATTACCATAGTGCACTGGTGTGACTGGGCCGTAGGTCTACTTTATACTTGCATAAAACATTCTTAATACTTTTTTAATATTTGTAATTACTGTTGTCTTCTAGGAGACCTGAAACAATGCCTCCTTACAAAGAAAGAAAACAGGAACAGAAGCACCAAGCACAATCTAAAAGGGAAGGTAAATGGCATAAGCATGGGCGTGCCAATGGAAGACACATGGCGAATGTTGAAATAGAATTAGGGCAGTTGCCATTTGATCCGAAATATTGAATAGCATGAATCACTTTCAATCACATAGTTTAGTCTTAGAGCCAAGATATACAGTTGGTTACTGTTGAATTTTTAAACCCTTTTCTGCGTCTTACTGCTAGAGAAAACGTGGGGGGACTTCCAAAGAAAGGCACAGCGGTGGGCAGGTCCTTACTGAAACGTATGTCTGCATCACATGATAGGAGGGGCTGCAGAATCCTCTGTGACATCTTTGCATACAATTTGTTTGTTTTTCTCCCCATTCAGAAGAAAAATAGTTATACAAGTGTGGTTCTACTGGTGACCCCTCGATGAGAATTTACAATTGAAGCTACAAGCTAAAGCTGCTCACATACTTTGCAATCTGTTTTAGATTTACCAAAACTATGTTAGTGTGAGGGCCGCCTTAAACAAGTCATATAATTTGTATCCAATCAAACTGGCCTCTGCATTGCATAGTAGTTGTTAGAGCTGAAGTAAATTGATTGTCAAATTGTCCCATGTATGGTCCACCTAACTGTAATTTCATCTCAGCCCGTGTCAGACATTGCAGCGGCTCTCCTTGTGCCTTTATTTCTAAATGACCCCCCACTAGCCTGTTATCCTGGCTCGGAATGACTGGTGTTCCCTGTTGTGAAATCTGTTTAAGCTTTGCTAATACTTTCATTTAGTAATGAACAGATTACATTCGGTTGCTTGCATGATGCCATGTCATCTATGATCCCCGAATCACAACAAGTAATTGTCTCTAATGTGTTGCTGTGCTAATAGATGTCCAGTGTTCAGTTTCTTTCCTATTAACAAAATTTTCGCTATTAATTTGTAATGTTCTTTCTGATTTCATTTCTTGCGGTTCAGAAAAAAACTGGTTCTCAGTGTTTGCAAGATTACAAAAAATGACACTGAATTAAAAAAAAATAAAAAAGAACTTTATTTAAAATCATCTTTTGTTTTCTTTGTCAGCAATTTACACACACACGCACACGCACACACGCTCTAAGGCTGTGTTGAGTAGCTGCTTCTTTGAATTGTGGATCTTGGCTTGGTCAGGAACTGCTCTCAAAGTGCAAACCATATGGAATGTAGAATTGTTAAGTCACAGTGACAAGTGGATTGAGGTAAGTATGTAGGAATGGCGCGGTCACTTCGATATGAGCATTGCATCTTCATGGCTTGTTTAGCTGAGCCTACACCAAACTTTCTCTCCTTATGATGATTACATACGGTGTGACCCAAAAAGCCAGTGTCCTTCAGTTCAGGTCCCGTTCATACATGTATATGTGGCTTCCAAGTCGACCCTCTGGCACATGAGTATGGAATATGGATGCCTTCCTCACATAGCTGTTTGTAGTCAGAAATAGACTTATTTCCTGTACATTAAAAAGTGTTGGTTAGTATTCAGAGGCTGAGACTGAATATGAATAAATCAGGTTAATCTGATTAGACGCAGATTTGTACTGGACCGGAGAAGTTCCAAAGTCAACTAATGGGACTTCTGATATCACATACGAGCAACACTGGACATAACTTTATATTAACATAAGAAAAGAACACAAATTCAAACACAAATAAAAAGCATGTTTTTCTCTCCTAATCTAATCTCCATTTTGCAATGTTCTATGCTGGTCATAAAAGCCACATTCTGGGCAAAATGATACATTTACATACTGCACTGGCTGTGTAAATTATCATTTAAAAAAGGTGTATTTTATGTGTGGGGGGTTGCTGCAAAGTATAAAAATCTGACCTTGCACCACTCCGTCTCCTGCACAAAGGGAGAGATGTGACTTGAGCAGTACCTCACTTCGGTCGCATCACCCGTCCCTCTTTACTATTATCTCTCAATCACAAATTCAGCTGGCCAAACAACATGGCGCTGGCTTCCTGGACAAATTGGGAAGCAGGTCATTGCTCGGGAAGCTGGCTCCATGCTAGCGGAAGCACCGGTATCGGCAAATACCGAAAGCAAAATATCGAAAAACAGGTATCGGTGCATCCCTACTATCATCCACTCCAAAAATTGACTTGTATTTCTTCAAAGAATACAATACATTCTATGATTGGAGGAGAGATGATGCCACATTCCTGCCCCCTCTTCTGCTCCTCCAATCACACAATATCTTGTATTCTGTGGAAAAATATGCAACATTATGCGAATGTGAAGGTGGGGCAAGTGATGCGACTGGAGTGTTCCGCTCAAGTCGCATCTCTTCAGTGCCTGGAAGCTCGATGTTATGTGCAGGAGATGGCTTGCTGCAAGGTAAGATTTTTCTACTTTGCAGCTGCCCTCTACACATAACACCCAGATATTTAATGATAATTTATTTATTACACACCCAGCATATGATTTCTCCCAGAGTGTGGCTTTATTACACAGCCATCATATCATTTCACCCAGAGTGTGGCTTTATTACACACCCAGCATATCATTTCACCCAGAGTGTGGCTTTATTATACACCCAGCATATGATTTCACCCAGAGTGTGGCTTTATTACACACCCATCATATCATTTTACCCAGAGTGTGGCTTTATTATACACCCAGCATATCATTTCACCCAGAGTGTGGCTTTATTACACACCCAGCATATGATTTCACCCAGAGTGTGGCTTTATTACACACCCATCATATCATTTTACCCAGAGTGTGGCTTTATTATACACCCAGCATATCATTTCACCCAGAGTGTGGCTTTATTATACACCCAGCATATGATTTCACCCAGAGTGTGGCTTTATTACACACCCAGCATATGATTTCACCCAGAGTGTGGCTTTATTACACACCCAGCATATCATTTCACCCAGTGTGGATCAGGACTGGGTAGAGTGTTATCAACACAGTGGGAGAATGGTTGTTGTAAGAACATACAAAGTACTTTCATGTGCCAAATCAACATTTAGCATTAAGATAAATTCTTCACTCATCCCTTTACTTTAGATGCAGCAGTAACTGAAAAAGTGTAACTGTACTTTTAATGCAATTACACCTACTGTGCTCCAATACCATTCCTATGTAAATCGGACATGCCGTGATTACCTGCAGATGACTGCCCCTGGGTGCAAACCTGTTGCTTCCAGGAGTAATCGCTGCATGCTGATTACATGCAAGAGGGTGCGGTCAGATGTCATTGCTTTGTATAGATCCCATCTGTAGCTGAAGTAGCATTTCGTGAGGCTGCCCAAAACGCATGTGGAAATGGGGCCTCATGCCCGCCTCTACTTCACAGAGATCTTGGCTGTATAGCCTTCTCGGCCCTGCACAGCCTTCATGGACAGTTCCAGAGTGAACCAGTTCCTCCAGCTTGTGGGTGTTATGGTCTCTGTTCACGCAGTACTCCAAAACAAAATGGAGTATGGTCTGTTCATGGGACTGAATAGGGGATTGCAGGTCATGTGTGCAGGAAGAGCCAGACATGAAAGTGAATAATTCAAAGGGGAAGGGGTTGTGCTTTTCTGAGCAGGCCATACAGCAGGGGTGGGGAACCTCTGGCCCTCCAGCTGTGGCAAAACTACACATCCCATGATGCATCAGGGAGTCATCCCTGTGGCTTTGAGAATTTTGCAATGCCTCATGGGATTTGTAGTTTCACCACAGCTGGAGGTTCCCCACTCCTGCCACACAGCATAGACCTCAGTGGAGTGGGGACATGTTAAATGAAAGATTTGGAGGGGGGTTTTGGACGGGGAAATGAGCCCAATAAGGGTCACTGCACTAAAAGTAGAAATACACTTTACTACTTGAACAAAGCTACATTTGTTTTACAGCCAATCATTTAATTGCTGATCCATCAAGCGACCTTACTATTCTCACCTTTTCTAGAACACTGAACATCACCAAATGTGTCGGTAGTCTAGCGGGGTCATAAAATTCTGCATTCAGCCAGGCGATCGGACTGACATAAAAGAGTTCCGCTTCATCTACATGCATGTCAGGGTCTCCAATATCCGGGGGGCACTCAAGGAAATCCATCTTTAGAGGACAGTGAACATGACTAGAAAGGAAAATGAGAAATGAGTACGCTTACAGCTAGAATAAAAGCTGACATACAATTTACATACATACCTTTAATGAGAACAATCAGCTGAAAATATCTGCCCCTCTTCCCATGTATATTTCATGGTAATTCCATATAATTCCCATGTATATGGAATTATTCAATGAAGTGATTGACTGTTCCGGAGAGTGTGACACATGCAGTGCCCCCAAAAAACCTCCAAAAACCAAACCAGTTTACTAATGAACATTCATAGCCATACACAGCAAGCTACACAGTGTTCAGTATTATTGATAGTTTAATATAAAATTAATTATGTCAAGTCTAGTGACCGGAAGTTGGATTTACATACCTGCCTGACCTCATATGCTAATGTCTTATACCTGCATGAGGTCAGGTAATTGACAGGGGAGCAACTATCAGACTTTAGCTGGCCTCTCAGAGAAACATGTCTGGCTCATACAAAAAAAGAAAGAAAGCTAAAAGGAGGAGTATAAACCCTTCACAGGTATGAATGCACTGGAATAAACTTTAACCTCCCTGGCGGTATTTCCGAGTGTGGCTCGGGGGTCATTTTCAGTACCATAAGCGGTAAGCCCGAGCCACACCTCGGGAATACAGTGTAGCGTCTCTAACCTTGTCCACGATCCCCGCTGTGTCCTCCGGCTGATGCCGGCTTCCGTTCCTTGTGAGCGTCCGCTTCGCAGGGGGGCGGAACCGGCGGGAAGTTTAAAATTTAAAACAAAAAACAAAAAAAGATAGAGCAAAAAAGGAAAGAAAAAAATAAATCATACCGCGAGGAGGTTAAAGTACACTGGCATGAAACATAGACAGGATAGGTCATTGCTGAACGCTTTCGGAAAATGCCAGTCTCCTGACTTTTGTGCTAACCCACTAATGAGAATACTTTCTGTGTCAGAGACTTGGAGCAAGCTTGCAGATCAGGAAAGTCAAATGCCCTTATCTGCTGCTTGTCCTGGGTCATTGACTAAATTAGGGGCCAGCCAATTATCATTTCTAGAACGAGAGGCCTGCAATGGCAGCATCCATGTTTCTCTCTTGTCCCGAGAAGATGAAATACAGTAGTTAGACTTGTGTATGCACAGTTATTATTGCTTCACTTTAATTATTCTTGTGTACTCCAAGAGTGCTCACCTGTAGTACGGAATGGAGTGACAGGGCATCAGAACCAGGAGGGAGGAATTCTCCTTGGTACATAGCTGTTGAATGTTAGACATTATATCAAGAGCTCCTCTCTGATGAACTAAGCCGGTGTAAAGGGCAGGAAGAAGGTTTGACACCACCAAAAAACCAACAGCCGTCTTCTTCCAGCGTTTAAAACGAGAAAAGGAGAATCCTGTTTGATTAAAAGAAAAATCTTACATCTTAAGTTTCAAATGTATCACTGCCAATGAAGCATCATGTACTTCCCTGCTGAGTTTAGATTATTAGCATACAAAGATGTCTATTAGAACTCTTAATATAAATGCTATATGTTATAGGAATACGAGATGCATATTTTGCCTGATTGTTCAGTCCATCTGTACAAGATACAAGTGGTTGACTATACCAGAAATGTTGGGATTACTATCAGTGTGAAGGTTTTGCAAAAGTGGTGAAAACACTATGATATCCTTAAGTGAACCTTTCACAAAACATTACAGGTATGCAGGAAACAAATTGCTGACATCATATTTTTAAACATTATACCATTTATCATGAAAAAGTAGTCCTTGAACTTTGGGCAAGTGATGTTGCCTAGGCAAAGAAGATGTCATCAATGCGCTGCAGGCAGAAGGAAGCATTTTCTCAGTCTCCTCGCCCCTGTTATCAGACTGCAACATTGTAACTGTCACAAATCACAAGGTGAAAGGATGCAGCATGGACTGTTCTGCGTCAGACAGGCAAATTTGTAGACCCAGCCAAGCACTGCACAGACACCAGGATGTACATGGCTGAGGCATCTCTGAGCCTGAATCTCAGTGTAGAAACACATGCTAACCCGGGATCATGCCCCGCGCAACCCCTCACCCACTATATAATAATAAAAACCTTTTTTTAAATGCCGCCATCCTTTTGGAAAGAAAAGAAAAATAGAAGTACTATGATCTCTGGGGGATGTAATGAATACGTGGAAGTGATACATTAACACGTTACTTAGCAAGGATACACTTAGTACTACATATTTATATTTTTGATGCTAGGTCTGTAATTTATTATAAGTGCCAGCTGTGATATAAATACTTTTTTGAATATTTCCCTTGGGTATTTGTTGCAGGCAGCAGTATTGCAGAATTCAGTGTAGATGTGGCCAGGCTATGGACATTCACATATTTAAAGTCCAGACAAAACTCTTTTAGTAGAAGTGTTAACACCATCTCCTGGATTGCCCAATTGATTTACTGCTTTCAATAATAGTGTTTGATTTATCCATAAATCCAGCTATTAGGGCCCATTCACACCACATCATCTCCAGACCGACCAGATTGTTTCTGGACCCAAAATGCATCCTAATGTATCCCTGTGCTATTTCCAGCCTCTGTTCACACCAGCGCAGTCCAGACCAGACCAGACAAATACTGCATGTCTCGTTTTGTCTGATCTGGAATGCAATGGAACTGTGGGCAGGTTCACACCATTTTCTGGACCACATCTGGTCCAGGTCTAGTCCTCAAAATGGTGTGGGCTGCCCCTTTAATGTTTCAGGAAAAGATGTCCAGGGCTGCTGCTTCCTTTTAAAATGACCTCTGTTCCCTTGGACAGGGTGACTGGTCTTGTAGCAGTCCCAGGTAGTCCTTGCTACAATACACAGTGCGGCTTAGAATGGGTGGATTCAGTCTGTATTCAGCAGCTATGTGGGTGGTTGAAGAGGAGGAAAGAATTCCCTTGTCACTGCCCACGCAGCCGCCCACCTATGTCCATCAGAATTGAGGTAAGGTGTGCTTAGATCCCCGGCATTTGCAGGAACAATAAATGACGTCACCATTGATAGACATTCTTTGAGCTAAGGCAAAAGGTAGTCTGAAATTTGGCATATGGCTCAGCTTTAACTAATCATCAATCTTAACAAACAACTCATCATCATCATCATCATCATCATCATCATCATCATCATCTTACCACAGAAGATCATGCAGAGCGGCAACACCGGATAGATAAAACGAAATTCTTTATGGCTTAAAAAGCTTGAAAAAAACAAAAAAAATATTACTAATAATGCAATAATCAAATCTTCCAGTCATTGTAAGCCAATAGAAATAACAAGAAAACCCTAAACAGTGTCCCCAGTAAATGTCCTTGCAGCATAGACGCACTCTGAAAATGCTGAAGATTAGGGCATGTTGACATGGAAGCAACATGACATCCATGAGTGTGGGATACACACAAGTCCTTGTACAGGTAGAGAAGTTCATTATCTATCAAACTAAATTGTTGCATAGGTAACCGGAAGGAAAATGTAATAGAAGCAAATATCTGGTTACATTGGGCAACGTTTTTATTACTGGCTGTTACTTTTTAAAGAGACCTTGCCACTAGCTTAAAATAATTGCAGGTGAAAACAATGGAAAAAAAAAAAGTTTTAAATGCTTATTTGCAGCGTTGTTTCCTTTCCTTTTCCTTACCTAACTTGCTGGGGTGTTAGACCACTCCAGGAAGTATCTATTCCCTAACACAGCCACAGTTCCCCCTCCCTCCTGTCACATCATAGCCCTCTTCTCTGCTTAATTACTGTCTGTGCTGGCCTGGCTCCTCTGCCCCTCCCCTTACCTCCCTACATTTATGTAGTTGCCTGAAGAGGATAAAAAAGGGAATAGTATAGAGTGTCACTTGAGCGATAGCTCTGAGTCTGCTGGGGGCTGCTGACATTACATCTAAGATGGCATCACCCAGCAGCAGTCTCAGGGCTTTTAGATGTCTACACAAGAAAAGCTTTTACATGTAAATAACATAAAATACATGAAATGTACATATAATGTTATGGGAAGATTGTTATTGACATATATGGTCTGGCAACAGGATCTCTTTAAAAAAAAAAAAAAAAAAAGGGTCTTATGACGAGAGATTCATTTTCCATTATACATTTAGCAATGACACCTAGGGCCATAGTTATATCACATTCACCAAACATTCACTGCACGTGAAGCACTGTCATTTAAAAACACATGCACCATATGATTTACCTGCAGTGACTGTTTGGTAAATGGAACAGTCACCGCTTTATAATTATACCCCACAGCGGTGTGCTTACCTGTATATAAGCAAAGTCCAAGCTATAGCTACTAAAAGAACGGTGTATCGTCTTGGTGCCACCACAGAGCCGTGTAGAAAGAATGGTAGGTGTGTGCCAATGATGACTGGAAATCCTTGGCTGATGTACCAGTGCCATGGATGAGACCCATAGAACGACCCGATGTTTTGTAGAACATTAAACTTTAGGAAATTCCACTGAACAAATGTCCACTAGAAGGAAAAACAGATGACTAATTTGATTCACGGATCCTGAAAGCACTGCGCTAAACCACGTACCATAACTGTGTATCACTCCAAATGAAAACTTCCAAGCCATAAAAAATAAAACCCCCCTTCATACTGTGATTCAAAGCGGACTTCAGTTAAAAAAATTTAAGGAGCTCCTTCCAGTGTTTAAAATAATTTCAAAAAATGGCTGCAATACTCGCCTTCTGTTCAGCGTTGTCACTGCAGTACTTTCTTTCTGCAACTAGATGTCCTCAGTCTTCGGAGTTAAAAGAGAACTATGGGGGTAAGTGTTTTTCCTCATAGTTCTCTTGAGGGTCACGGGAGGACATATACTAGCATCCCAGCTCAGTATATCGCAAGCTACAGCTCACAGTATACCGAGACCGCCGCAGCCGGGACAGATCCCGACATTACTGTCGAGATCCACCCAGCTGCGTGAGTGACAGCTGGCTCTGCCTATCTAGAGCCAGAGCCAGCTGTACCCGCCCCCTCCCCCGTCCGTTCTGCCAGTCAGCGCTGGAGGATCGGAGCTAGGAATCCTTGTGGGGAGTGGTGACCGACGGTCACGGCTCTCTGCAGGGAGAAGATCGAGAAGTAAGCGAGCGGCGGTATGCGTTTGCTCACATCCCGATCTATTGAGCCAACCTGTGACAGTTTCATTGTCACACGTCGGCTCAAACTATGAGGATGAGGGATTTTCACTCACCTCATAGTTCTCCTTTAAAGAACACCGAGTGTAATTCAACAATGAAGACTGTGGACATACTGTGAGTGCAGAGCATCATGAACCCGCTTCCTGAGGGCGGTTCACCAAGGCACTCTGTACTCACTGTGTAATGATGCAGAGAGGGTCGCCAACATCACATCAGCGCCACTCTCTGCATCACTGGGGAACATCCACCCCTGGGGGAAGATCTGAAGAGGAAGTAGACAAGCATAAAACAAATACCCGACATACAGCAGGGGCCTCCGAGGGTTGAGGGGGAGCACTGGGGGGCTGAGCTCAGAGTTGCCCATTAATGTTTTGAATGTGAATTGTAAATTCACTTTATCTGAATCTACGTTATGATTGTCAAGGCTGCAAAACATACGTTACCAAACATACGGATAGTGAAAACGTTTAGAGGAATATTTGAGCGACAATATAGATCTTATAGAATCTCTCATGCAACACTGATGCTGTATTAGTAATATTTTAGTATCATTAGTTTAGACAGATGAACCGTTAGGCTCCCTTTAGAAAAATCGGCATCGGGCAGCAATAGAAAACGTGTATAGAAATAAATGGTTTAAAGTGCTAGTTTAGGATTGTACTACAAGCTGGTCAACAGCAGTTGGTTAGTTTCCTGCATTACTTGCCCCTGTAGCCCTTGAAACAAATCATTTAGGGGTACAAGGGTATTCTCTTGGGGGCAACCATTAAGGACAATGGAACCGCCTATGCAATGGGTCTCACTACAGGAGATAGTATTGATGTGGAAGTCAGAAAGAGGAACGGTGAGAGCAGTGGGGGACCAGTGACACCCCTGGAAGTGTCAGTCTTCCAGCTGACTTCATGGAACCATTTCTCATGAACGGAGCAGTGTTCGGCTGCACAGGTGGCAGGGGAGGTAAGTGTTTACTCTCTTCTTCTACAGCCAGATAACTTCAGTAAAGCAACAGGGTCACTATAAGAGGGTCACTTTAAAGCCCAACTCCAGTGAAATGAAACATTTTCCCTTGCAGTGGTGCTGCCCCTGCACTGCAAGGGTAAATTGCTCCCTTATGCCTAGGGGACAGGATACATTTGTTTTACTCTTCTGATCCCCATGCCCGCTGACACCCTCCAGGCTGCTAGAGCGCTGCCCGCAACCTCTTCGCTCCAGTGGTCTAAGGACTGGTGACGTCATCAAGTACAATGCAGACTTCATAGCCTTGCATTGTACGCGAGGACACTGAGGGACAGTCCACAAGTGGAGCAAAGAGGGAGAAGAGGAGAGCACTGACTTCTGGCAGGAGCGGGGATCAAGTAAGTAAAACAGCCTTTTCCTGTCCCCTAGGTCAGGGGTAGCCAACCAGTGGTCCTCCAGCTGTGGTGAAACTACAAATCCCCTGATGCATCTCTCTCCGGGAGTCATGTCTGTGGCTGTAAGAATGTTGCAATGCCTCATGGAATTTGTAGTTCCACCACAGCTTGGCTACCCCTGCCCTAGATGTAAAGGAGCAGTTAAAGTGACATTAAACCCCCAGATTTTTTAACATAAAACAATACTGTAATGTGTGCCTTACTGTAATCCATGGTTGTTTCCCTTCTCTTTGCTGCTCTTCCTTTTAAATCTGTATCTGTTCTCATGCTGGGCAGAACTTCTGTTTTGCAGCAGACGGCCTTGTCTCAGGAATGGATACATGGTGTCTGTGTGCAGGTTCACAACCTGAGCCAGCACTACAGGAAGAGGCCCTGAGCTGCAAAGGGAAGTTCTGCAGAGCATGAGAAGACATGAGGATTTAAAAGGAAGAGCAGCAAAGAGAAGGGAAACAACCATGGATTACAGTAAGGCACACATTACAGTAGTGGTTTATGTTAAAAAATCTGGGGGTTTAATGTCACTTTAACCCTTGCATTGCAAGGGCAGCCCCACTGCAAGAGGAAAACCTTTCATTACCCTGGAGTTGGGCTTTAAGAGTTTTTAAAGTTCACATGAGTAGAACTTGTCTTTCTAGCCGAGCAATTCATACTTTTTGTATATTCAGATGATACCCTCTCCTTTTTATTGATTTCTTTTACAGACATTCTGTGAATATCTTGATAGTTGGCTACCCTGATTATAATGTGCATACATTGTGACGTTTCCTATTGTAAACAGCAAAATGTGCATTCAGTGTGTGAATATTCTGGGTTTTTTTCGGTAGAACATTAGATAACACAGTCAACATATACAAAAGAATAGGAAATTGAAGCTTTACAACATACCAACATTACTTTAGTCACCACTGAAACATACCTTACCAAAAAATACTCTGTCAATTTTCAGTGAGGCCCCAAAAGTAAAGAGTCTGCAAAATACACACAGAATGAATATTCTAGACACAGAAAAGTTAATCCAGTTAGTGATAGGCACATGCATTGTACTATAGTTCACAATGTCCTTGCAAAATAGTTTTACACAATGTTTGTTTGTGGACCTAGCTTTCCCACTTCCATTCTTTAAACGAAGTTCCAAAATGAATATCCTGTTCTAAAATCAGCATTGTAATAGGAATACATGCTAGAGTTGTTATTGATAATGGAATCAAAGCTTACTTGAAAAACTCCCTTTTATGTATTGAGTTCTGCCTTCTGTCTGCCCATCACTTTCACCAACTTCCTGGATTCCCAGTGTGCTTTGCATCTCTTTCCCTATTCCTTGATGTGATGTAATCTCCATTTCTCAAGACTACATATCCCATCATGCATTGCTTCTAGCAAGCATTGATAATGTTACTCAGGTCCAGATGTTGAATTGTAGTTCAGGGGGCTGGCTCGGGAGAGTTTTGTCACAATCACAGAGCTGAGTGAAATTGTGTAAGTGTATTGAGGAAGTACATCCTATGAGCATCTTCAATAAGTACATTTACAAACGTGTAGATTTATATGATTATTAGGAGTGAGATAGAACTTATGGAAATTCAATATAGAAATACAGATTTATTTTTAGTTATTGACATAGATACCCTTTAAAGATAAATAATAAACACACCTTGTTCTCTCCACTTGGAATCCAAGAGTAATTATTATGGATGTCCCACTCAATCCCTGGTTCCACCCTACATAGATGTACGTATATGGGAATAAGATTCACCATAGAGAGTTGAGATGTAGGATTTGACAAGCAGCTGGAACTCCCTAAATCTACATTTATTTCAAGGGGACGACGGCTTCAACCAACATACCTCGTCTCCGGAATTGTAAACACAGTACAAAAGTGGTCTTTCCTTTCTTAAAGGGTATTTCCACTTTTGGAGCCAAACTGGGTAATACCTACTTTAAATTTGTCACGGAATAATTTACACTTGCCCTGTGTCTTAGCAAAGCGATGACCTTCAAGACATAATAAGCCCAGATTTGTTTTGCTCCATCAGTGCATCGTTACTCAACTTAAAAGGAGAACTATGGGGTTAAGGCTTTTCCCCATAGTTCTCCTTAGGGTAACGGGAGGACACAAACTAGCGTCCTCCCGTCACCCTAAGCTCAGTATACCGCGAGCTACAGCTCGCGGTATACTGAGACGCCGCAGCCGGAGCGGATCCCGACAATTGTGCCGTGATCCGCCCAGCTGCGTGACTGACAGCGGGCTCTGCCTATCTAGAGGCAGAGCCAGCTGTACCCGCCCCCTCCCCCGTCCGTTCCGCCAGTCAGCGCTGGCGGATCGGAGCGGGGAGGGGGGAATCCAGCCCCTCCCCTGTCACGGCAGAGAGCTGTGACAGGATCGAGAGGTGAGCGAACGCAGGTATGTGTTCGCTCACCTCCCGATCTACTGAGCCGACCTGTGACAGTCTCATTGTCACAGGTCGGCTAGAACTATGAGGTGAGTGAAAGCACTCACCTCATAGTTCTCCTTTAAAGAGGACCCACCAATTTAATGTCCCCCCAAACAGTTACTTGACACACTGTCAAGGTTCCTTATTTCAGCTCCCTCTAATGGCTGCTGTCATAGCTGGTCACATGTGCAACACCATGGCAACTGCAATCCAAATAGAGGTCAAGATGGCACCTTCCTTGGCTGTAAAGGATAGGGGGTTGTAGTTCCCCGTTAAACAATAGATCTTCAATAATGACCTGCCAACATGACATATCATTTTTATACGTTTCAAACTACAAACTTCAGAATAGCCTCAAAATCAATTTACAAAGCTCTTTCCTTTGTGAGGCAGTCCTTTTCACATAATGCCAAAGGTAAGTACTGATCAATAGAAAGCATGTATGATGATTATCAAATACAGGAACAAATGACTAGCAGATCCCCTGAATGTGTACACAGGACCAAGAAAAATGTTATTGCCCAATTCCAGGCAAAACATTTCTTGTGGATTTGTACTGTCTGTGTCCTGCTAGGTAGATTCCCCCTCATTTATCTCCATGACACCAGGGCAGGAAACAAACAGCAAAAAAAACCTTCCCCTACGCTAAAGTAGAACTAAAGTGGTCAGGTTACGGACAGTTAAACATTCATATTCTTAACATCAATAAAAATATGATTCCTTGGCGGTGTCTTGCATATCAAGGTGTTTTTCATGTGATGTGGTGTCTGCATTCGTTTTCTTTTATTTAACTTTTATTTTCACCTGCTGATCTGGCCACCAAGTCTTTAATTGTACAACTTCCCTTTAACAGACCAAGCTGTCCAGAAAAATTGGCAGATAGAGGGTTTATTATTATTATTATTGTTATCATCATTATCAGCGCTTGAAAAATTTGATGGTGTCACCAGTCAGTCAAACATTTCACCAGTCAGCATGACCGGACTAAAGCCTTGCAATTTATGTGAACATTTTTTGGGGACAGATAGAGCTTTCTTTTGGAGGTATATAATCACCACTGGGGGGTGGGGGGGTGTTATTATTTTTGACTATATAATGAAAAAAGTACCATAAAATGTTAAAAAAAAAAAAAAAAAAAACTGTTTCCCTACGTTATGTTATAAAACATTTATTCTTACCCATATTTTTAGTAAAACATAAAAGTCGGGGTCACGTCGGGTAAATAGACACCAAACAGGTCAAGCCTTAAAATTGCGTGCGCCCGCAAAAAACGCCCATAGGCGACGATTAAAACTGCTCATCAGTTTAGTGTTATCAGTGATTAATGTCTCTAAAATTATTGCTCTCACTCCGACATTTGCGGCGATATGTAACATGTGCGGCACAATAGGCGCAATCGTCGTTTTCGCACGTAGGCGCACCCGACGCATATCTACGTGTGTATGACAATACAAGCGATCGATTGAATGTAAAGCTCCCGGCCGGCCGGGAGGCTGCTCGTCGGGCTCCACCGTCCTCATCACAGACGAGCGGACCTTTCAAGCCCTGATTATTATACAGGATTTATATATCCCCAACAGCTTCTGCAGCACTTCACAAAATGGAGGGAGACGGTACAGTTATAATACTATTTCAATACAGGAGGGTTAGGGGGGCCCTGCTCATAAGACCTTACAATCTAATAGGTGATGCAAGTGATACAAGAGGTAATAATTGTATGGACTGAGTTAATAGAAGAAGTAAAAGGACAGTAATTATCTTGAGGTGGGACAGGCTGCTCTGAAGAGATGAATTTTCAAGGATTTTCTAAAGATGGACAAAGTAGGAGACTGAAGTTGAGCCAAACCATTTCACACTGACAGGGGTTCTTACAATGTTCAGGTTTTATTCATTTACATAAAATCTTCATGGCAAAAGGAAACAAAATTGTTGCTGTGGCTGCTTAAAAAGTGTTAGCTGGAGTTCAGCTTTAACTGGTAAGTCAAGTCCATCTAAATTTGCTAGTCCATCGAACATTACCCTCTCCACAAGATGGCAGTATTGCTGTCCAAGGGTGGCTCTGTAGTTGCTCCTCCATAGAGTGGAGCCACAGGAAGTGTATTATTGGCCAGATCACCAGCTGCAAATAAAAAACCTAAAACAAAAAGGTGCAGTCACCACATTTAGGACTAGTAAGCTGCAATATTTTGGTTTTGGGTGTTGATACGCTTTAAAGAGGATGTACAGGCCGATTAACTTACTGAGCCTTCCATTGTGGGAGACAAAGTAGTACTTGTACAGCAAGGGAAAGCAATATGGTATGCAGCACCACATAACTATCCCTTTTATGAGCACTGATACAGCCTATAAAACATTTGAAATCACTTTCTATACGTAACCTATACATAAAAGTCACAGCGCTTGTAAAAGAATGTACAGTACATGGTATTTGCTTTAAGACAATGCAAAGACTTACCCAACAGGTAAACAGTGTTGGATCACCAAATCTAGTTTTTTCGGCTCTTTAAAGAAGTGATATATGAGCAGAGGAATCCAAAGAATGATAGCAGTTGGTCGGATGAGAAAAGCCAAGGCCACAAAGAGCAAGTATTTAGTACTAGAAAACAAGAGGAGCGACATATTAGAATGACAACACGCAGCACAGGCGTATATGTCAGAAGTCGGCTGTCTAGTTGTTCTTTCACCTGCTCTTTGTAGGCGAACCTTCCAGTGGGAAAGAATACAAAGCCAATGTGCCAAGTACACTTTCCATGGTGTTGGTTAGAGTTCTTGTGCAACAATACCATGTGAACCAGGAACACAGCTGACAAAAGTACTGAAAAGAAGAAAAGTCTTAACTGTTGTAAAATGATACAAATTAAAATAAAACCAAAACGACAAACCAAACAATCTTATTTACTACTTAGGTGTCCTGCAAGTAACCTAGGGAACAAATAGTAAATAGGTTAGTGTGTCTGTTGCCTGAAGCATACAAATCAGCTGGTTTTACCTTTGTACTTGCTATTAGAGAAATGACAGTCAGCTATCTTTACCTTTGTACTTGCTATTAGGGAAATGACAGTAAGCTGGTTTTACCTTTGTACTTGCTATTAGAGAAATGACAGTCAGCTGGTTTTACCTTTGTACTTGCTATTAGGGAAATGACAGTCAGCTATCTTTACCTTTGTACTTGTGATTAGAGAAATGACAGTCAGCTGGTTTTACCTTTGTACTTGCTATTAGAGAAATGACAGTCAGCTGGTTTTACCTTTGTACTTGCTATTAGGGAAATGACAGTCAGCTATCTTTACCTTTGTACTTGCTATTAGAGAAATGACAGTCAGCTGGTTTTACCTTTGTACTTGCTATTAGGGAAATGACAGTCAGCTATCTTTACCTTTGTACTTGCTATTAGAGAAATGACAGTCAGCTGGTTTTACCTTTGTACTTGCTATTAGGGAAATGACAGTCAGCTATCTTTACCTTTGTACTTGCTATTAGAGAAATGACAGTCAGCTGGTTTTACCTTTGTACTTGCTATTAGAGAAATGACAGTCAGCTGGTTTTACCTTTGTACTTGCTATTAGGGAAATGACAGTCAGCTATCTTTACCTTTGTACTTGCTATTAGGGAAATGACAGTCAGCTGGTTTTACCTTTGTACTTGCTATTAGAGAAATGACAGTCAGATGGTTTTTCCTTTGTACTTGCTATTAGGGAAATGACAGTCAGCTATCTTTACCTTTGTACTTGCTATTAGGGAAATGACAGTCCAGTGTCTTTACCTTTGTACTTGCTATTAGGGAAATGACAGTCCAGTGTCTTTACCTTTGTATTTGCTATTAGAGAAATGACAGTCAGCTGGTTTTACCTTTGTACTTGCTATTAGGGAAATGACAGTCAGCTGGTTTTACCTTTGTACTTGCTATTAGGCAAATGACAGTTAGCTATCTTTACCTTTGTACTTGCTATTAGAGAAATGACAGTCAGCTGGTTTTACCTTTGTACTTGCTATTAGGCAAATGACAGTTAGCTATCTTTACCTTTGTACTTGCTATTAGAGAAATGACAGTCAGCTGGTTTTACCTTTTCCCTGCCTGTCCCTAATAGCAAATACAAAGTTAAGGACAGCTGACTGTCATTACCATAATAGCAAATGCAGTCAGCTGTCTTTCCCTTTGTAATTTCTATTTGGGAAATGATGGATGAAATTAGATTGGCTGCTATGGATAATCAGGTTCATCTAACTGACTCGGTTTTATATTATTAGGTCATAGGAGTTATGTGTACATTGAACAGTTAGTTTTAGATAAGGTGGGGAAGTGTTAAACCCTCTGTCACGTTTTTGACTGCTGTCTGTGTCTGCGTGGGGGAGATTCACCCCTCGTTTTGTACTGGTGAACATTGTCACTGAGAAAGGATGTAAAAAAATTATGTGAAAGTGAAAAATCCAAAGTTTTAGTCAATGAGGGGAAATCTTTTAAATTGTGGTCTTATCTGGGGAAAACTGTCTAAGAGGGGTTCAAGCAGTCATATTTGTTGTTAGCAGCTGCAAGTCGGATAGGTGGATCTAACAGTTAATTTCTGAGATTCAGGTCTGCTTTGAGGCCCCCTTTACATGGCACTCTTTGTGGAGATGCATTACATGCGTTTTTTGTTTGTTAATGTGTGTTGTGTTAAGGCAGCTAATTCATTTAAATGGGCTGTCAAGCAACGGCAACAAAACTAGACCTGAACCTTTCCTAATGCATTGTACTGCATGCGGTATGTGAGATGTGGTGCGTTGCAGTGTGGGTCTGCCAACACCTACTGCATTGTGAATGTTGTAGTGCCATTCTTAATGAGTGGAACTACAACACACTGAACAGAGTGCTTTGTATTACTGTGTGTTGTGGTAATGCATGGTAATCCACATTTTACCACAATGGATAGCTGTGAAGCCAGCTTAAAGTAGAACTCCACATAAAGCACTGGCTTCTCTCAAGTAGTGATGTAGTCCCTGCGATCCTAGAGAGTAGTGGGCTCAGGCGTGTTCGCAGCTCCATGTGCCGAGCTTGCCAGGAAGCTGACAGCGCCAATCACAGGTACTGAGACATTTCCCGATCTCTGCAGCTGCGGACTGGGAACATGTCTCAGTGCCTGTGATTGGCGCTGCGCGCTGTCAGCTTCCTGGCGCGTGGAGCTGCGAACACGCCCGAGCCCATCACTACTCTCTAGGACCGTAGGGAGAACTTACTTAAACTAGTGACACAGGAAAGGGTGAGAAATGGTTGTGTCTGGGATGGTATAAGAAACACCTTTACTTGTTGCACTCCTTACCGAAAGTCCCTTGTAATGGGGTGGGTGCTCCCAGTGACTGCGGATGGAGCCGCAAACATCAGCAATATATAGAAATGTCACCAACACACCAAATCCTTTTAGGATAGCAAATTGTTCATTTATTTGCAGTTCCTTGTTAGAAAAACAAGCGCTTTTGGGACCGCGCAGGGTCCCTTCATCAGGCTTAGAACTGACGTCAATGCCAAAACTGATGAAGGGACCCTGCGCCGTCCCAAAAGCGCTTGTTTTTCTGACAAGGAACTTGCTATCCTAAAAGGATTTGGTGTGCCGATGACATTTCTATATATTGGCATAGTATAAGAGCTGCAAGGCAAGCTTGGCACAGGATAAAGTTTTGTCACATTCCATGTGTCATGTGAAATGTAAAATAATATTGTGAGCGGAGTTCTGTTTTGCTTCTTACATTTCGCATCAGACTTCTCATATATTTTTCAATATCTAGTTGTGTGACGTTAAATTGTTTTAGCTTTAGGTATGCTTTTTTACATTTGTATATAGTACAGGAGGGTTGGAACCCCTGTCATTTATGAAATGCTATCCGTGTCCACTGGGGAGATTCACTTTTTCAATTGGTCCTGGTTGCCAATGTCAAAGTGATAGGAAATCCCAAATTTCAGGCTGCCACTGGAAGAATAGAGGGGAAATCTTCCAATGGTGACACTTGTTCCAGTGACAGCTAAGATGGCATTTTCCTTAATTTGGGGAGATTTCCTCTCACTTCCTGTTGCAGCTACAGAACAGGAAGTTAAGGGAAAACTCTGCAATTGCACGTACATGGAAAGAAGTGACATGAGGTTTAACCAGTCTCTCTACTATGCAAAATGAGAAAAAAAACACGTTTTGGCTTTAGATATACTATACTTTAGGCTCCTGTTGTTGTTATGCCTTACAGTCCTAAAAGACATCCAAAGAGCTGAAACACATCCGATAATCAGATTTTACATACCACCCATTTTGCCACACTTGCATTTTCCAGGCGCTTCATTAGACAATATAGTCTGACATCGGCAAGGCCAGAAAATACAGCCTGTATCAATCTTGGAATCCAGACCTATAAAAAGATTATTACATTTTAAGCTGAACATATAATGCAGGTTTCACAATGGTTCAGACAGGTACCTTACATGAATATGTAGCACCAGAAGTCCTGCACACAGAAAATATGATATATTCATATATTAGGTAATGTCATTATGATCACATTAGATAAAGTTGCCGACAATGCTCAGTACAACCATTCTTTACCACTTACTTGTAAAACTTGTATTACACACTGTTATTAATTCATCTAACCAAATATCTATATATGCAGCTGAAACCCATATATGTAAATTGTTTTATCTTCCTAATATATTTGTAATCTGTTACGTTTGTGATTCATACAGCCATGACATACTGAACAGTTAGCAGAATGTCCTCTTTATACCAGACATCACATGCTGTGGTCCTCCCTGTTTCAATACTGCGGGCAAAATAAAAATTAGTGAACTAAATGTGAGATTGTAGTCCATCACAGGAGCGAGCTTGGAGCAGTGGCTACTTTACAACACACACAGGGACCATGGGGAAGAAAAGTAGCCACCCTCCAGAAGGAAGGACAGTGTCAGCACCAATTCAGAGATGATTTGAGGATCTGCAGACGAGTGATACACAAATAAGATACATTTTTGGTAATAATTAAGCTACTTGAATGCATTTTTATAATGATTCTGCTGATTCCCTATTGTTCTCTACATTGGATCTCTAGTAAACAAAAGCCAGTTGTAACAGTGAGTATGCTAATGTACTTTTCCTAATTTGTACAGCTAGCATTGCTTGTTTCAAACTACAAACCATTTTGTTCATAAGAAACCAAATCACATTCTTATTAGTCTGAAATATAAGACAGCTAAATATACATACCAAGAAGAGGACGTCATCCTTGCCAATCCAATCCAAAACTTTATACACAGAGGCAAAGAGCAGTGGGTATGAGAAGCCTCTCAGTCCTTCATTCCATTCCCATGTTAAATAGCCATAATTACTATTGTTAAAGTGAAATAACATTCATTTGTGATTATTTAATGTGTAATGAAAAGTGCAAAACACGGAATATGTATATTATATTGTAGTAAACATTCACACTTGTGCAGCACATTGCATTGAGTGCCCATTCTTTTTCAATGGACCCACTTCCCTGCAACCTATTATACCCACCTTTCTGTCAGCATGTTTTCCCCACCTCTGCTCCATTTCAGCACTGCAGCCTCCATCAGTCTTTTCAGGATTCAACAATTCCAGGAGTGTCTGTTGCCAGTGTCCCCACATCGTGCCATGTTCTACCCTACGATCCCTACCAACTACTCAGTGACATATGGGTCGGAGGAAGGAATCACAGTATGGGTGGGTGGACACAGGCATCCAACACTCCCGGATGTGTCACACCCGAAGCCTCATCATCTAATACCTGGTGGAGAATGGGATTGTCTTGCACCTCTGGTCCAACAAACCTGTAAGTGGTGATTGGGAATGTGAAGACCCCAAGTGGCATGGGGGCCAATATAGCAGACAGTATTGATTGTTAAACCTGTAGGCCAGACGCCTATAGTCCACCAAGGAGAAACCGGATACAGGAACACAGCAGCACCCCAGCTGGAGGCAGGAGTGTAGCCAGCATGCCAGTCGCAGGTAGGTAATAGCAAGATAGCGCAGTATCATGACAAGAGGCAGAGTAGGGATGCAGGCCAAGGTCTGTAACAGCCAGGCAGTGCGGTACAGGATCGTCAGGCAGAGATGGTGTCAGGATACAGGCTGAGGTCAGTAATAAATGGGCAGAAGAGGTACAAGGTAGAAGACAATAAACAGAGTCCAACAGGCAGGCAGAGGTCACAACGGAAGGGCAGAATAGCGGGTCAGTTCAAAGGTTATCAGGAACAAGCTGAAGACCACTCAGCAATCTGTCCATTTCACACTACAGTTTATAGGCTGTTCAGCACCAACACTAGTGCGAAGCATGCTTGCCTTTTTCTCATATAATAAAAGGTGTTCTGTGATTGGAGAAGAGGAGGGGGTGGGGATGTGATATCACCTCTCCTCCTCCAATCACAGCACGCCTAGTATTCTGTGAGCAAAATACAAGGCATTCTGTGAGTGGACGGGGATGTGACTGGAGAACTTCACTGCTCGAGTCGCATCCCTCAATCCCTGCAGTGCCCCGCATTATGCAAGAGTCGGCATGCTGCAAGGTAAGATTTTAATACTTTGCAGCCCTTCACATGTAACATACAGATTCCTAGTGATAATTTACACACCCAGTGTGGTGTGATAATTATCACACTGCATCAGGCATTAAAAGAGAACTATGGGGTGTGTTTTTCCCCATAGTTCTCTTAAGGGTCACGGCGGACATATACTAGCGTCCTCCCGTGACCCAGAGCTCAGTATATCGCGAGCTATCGTTCGCGGTATACTGAGACCACTGCAGCCGGGACAGATCCCGACATTACTGTCGAGATCCACCCAGCTGCGTGAGTGACATGAGTGAGTGAGTGCTTATCTAGCTGGAGGATCGGAGCGGGGAATCCCTGCAGGGAGCCGTAACTGACAGTGACTGCTCTCTGCAGAGAGATGATCGGGAAGTGAGCGAGCGACGGTATGTGTTCGCTCACTTCCTGATCTATATACAGTTTTATTGTCACACGTCGGCTCAAACTATGAGGATGAGTGAAAATCACTCACCTCATAGTTCTCCTTTAAGTTGAGTTTTGCTTTAAGAACTGTAAAATGCATTCACTTGTGATTAAACATGACTCTATCCATGATTACAGTACACTGGTATTACATAAAGGATATTTAAAAGTCATATTATGAGCAACTTCCAGGGATTGCCAGTATTCATCTGGAACAAAGCTGGTCTGCACCATGAAGCAGTTCAGCACTCGAAAGGTGAATGTCAGCAAGGCGAAGATAACGTTTTCTCCGAATAGACCTAAAGGGGGGCAAAGCAGTAAAAGATAAATGAATATGATCAAAAATAACAAGAAAACCATTGCTGGCCACAGACTGAAGGATTTCCCAACCAATCTGACACGCGATTCTATGACTTCCCATGATTATTGCTTCACTTGTATTACAAAAAGATGAAAAGTCAGAAAAAGTGGCAAATATCCAACAAAAACATATTTCCCAACAATCAGAGAAAGTCAGAAGACGGATATCAGTGTTCAGCAAAGCACAGAGTGCGGTGGAATCACAGAGCACACATGAATGTGACAGAACAAGAATATCAGGAGAATCATCTTCAGCATATTGAAGTGTCGTTCTGACTTTTCAGGTCATCTGCTCCTTCAACTTACAGAATGGGAAATCATCCTATGTACGGCCGTCCTATATATGATAAGAAATACAGACAGTTCTAGATGGAAGAAAGCCGACTTGCCAGAGATGACATTTTATTTAGAAATGCCACAAATGTTGAACTGACATGAAGAGGTCTTCATAATACATCAGTTTTCGTTTAGCCACATGACTTTTGGCCTTTACAGTCTGTCCCAACACATTATGTATCCCCTATATGCATTTATATCCTTTGCGGCTATTGACAAATAGATTTATATTAAAGTTGTTGTGCCCGGAGGTCGGCTTTAAAGAAGAACTCTGAGGATTTTTTAAAATTAACCCTTGCAGTGAGGCTACCCTTGCATTGCAAGGGTTAAGTGCTCATTTTTGTTTATGTTCAAAAATAACAAAGTTAGAGTCACCCAGTCCTTGGAGCTGGCTTGCACTTAGGCTGGGGTCACACCTAGGCGTATCGAATATGCACGTTTGTACAGCGATTCGCAGTAAAAAACTGCGCGTTTCCGAGGGCTACCTGGCTGTATCCCAATGGATACGCGCGGCAAATACGCCCCTGTACTTCTTAGGGCGTTTTGCAGCGCGTTCCTACGCGCTGTTAAATGCCCAGGTGGGAACCATGCCCATAAGCAATCATTGGTTTTCACATGTTGAGCGTTTTACAGAGCGTAGGAACGCGCTGTAAAACGCCCAGGTGTGAACCAGGCCTTAGACTTGTCCCTTCCACCTGTGTCCTTCTACGCTGCAACAATGGTATGTCCCTCGGCGTCCTCACATTCTATACACCGTGTGTTGGACATAATGTCTCATTGGACCTTAGACTGCTGCTGCGGAGGGGAGGGGGCAGAAGGGAGCGGTCTATGAGCAAGCGGTCTGATGGCAAAGCTGACAGACAAGTATCTCACCATTACCATGGACATATTTAGGTAACATTGTCAGCTATCATTCCTGGCCCTTTGTTTACATTCAGCTGAATGGGGCTGGGGATGAGTCATTGGTTGCTACGATGCTGGTGGCTGCCCGTGTCCAAGCAACCAACCAGCCCTGAAGGAAGCAGTCATGGATGTCGGTTGCTAGGATGGGATTGCTGGCTGACATGCCAAACACATGTGCTGCTCTTTCTACACAATGGTCTCACTGTATAGTAAAAAGCAGGGCATGTTTGCTGCCTGTCTCAGGAACACCAACTTAAAATTTGTCTTCATCACCTCAGGTTTATTATGCATGGACCGGCAGAAACTCTGTTGGAATTTGTTGCATCCATAGGGACACATTGTGAACATGGCGGTCACACAAACTACCTGAATCTCCTGCACATGTCAGAACTCCCAGAACGTTCATGAATTAGAAGCAGGACTTTTTTTTTTTTTTTAAAGGAACATTACCACCGAAAAAGTGTCACAAATGCTTTATTCAATTTCCGCCCATAAAGTTCATTGCAGCTCAGGACTATCACTGGGGATTCCATTCATCCCTCCATGCAGTCGTGTCTCCATTACCTTCTCCCAGAGACGCTTCTCTGCTGTCCTTGCTGTACAGTTTGGATTTCCTCTTCCTCAGCTGTACAGATCGGGCAGAGCCGGGTCTCCTAAGGGCAGACAGTGCCCGGCTCCGGATCGCCTCCATTCTTCACTCTCACTAGCTTTGTGGATGTGGGACGCCCCGCCCACTGTCACTTTCCCCGCTGACTACAACAAGAGGCCGAGTCCTCCCTCGTGTGTCGTCGCCATGTTATTGGAGATCAAGCTTACCGACTTCGGAGGCAGGCCTTCACAAAATGGTTCTGATTTTGAAGACAGGAAATATGTTACTTCCTACGGCCATTTTTCGAAGGACTATTCTCACCGTATCGCTCATGTGTGACCTCCAAAAACATGGCTGCCAACTTACAGCACGGTACTAAGTTACCTAAACGAGTGACTGCCTACGACTGGACACTGTAAAACGGAATCGAGCACAGTAAGTAGATTATTTCAGGGCGCGCGAGTTCTACATTTTGGGCCGTACGAGTACCCGTTCATCACTAGAGCGTGCAGGAAACGCTGCGCTTCACACTGATGAAGGCCATGTGACCTCTGTGTATCCTGCACGTGATCATAGCAGGTAGGATAACTCAGGAAAGACTACAAGTTCCAGCATCCCTTGTTGCCCATTTATTCTCCTGCCATTGGCATTATGTAATATTGTGGTACTGCCTGCATGTTTCAAATAAATGCTGTGGAAGGTGACCACAGGCAGATCACCTCTAGGGCTGTGTACACATATTTCATGAGCTTTTCTATGACTAGTGTTTCATTTTGTTTATCTATAAAATCATGTTTTTGTTTTCCAGAGCAATTTTTCAGTAGGGAACCGAGTTTGTGCAAGCCCGTACTAAACTGTCAGTGACACCCCCCAAATCAACTGCAACAGGGGCATTCCCCCGGCTGCTGCTGATTGGGTCAGGAGAGGGGATGTCAGTGACAGTTTTGTGGGGTCTTGGGTGAAATCTAGGGCTGCAACAACTAATCGACATAATCGATTATAATCGATTATTGAAAAAGTTGTCAACTTTTTCAATAATCGATTAATCGGCTCCTGATTGGTTGGCCCTGTTCACGGCTTAACACACGCTGCGTGCCACACCTCCTCCCCCACCTCACGCTCGCCGCTGCCAGACCTGCCCGCATCCACGCTCCCGCATGTCCTCCGCGCCTCACACTCACCGCCCGTCCAAATCCACGATCGGCACGGGGACGCGGGGAGAAGAAGTAAGGAGGAGCAGGTGTGGGGGGGATGACAGCCGCCGATAGACAGGCCCGATCTCAGAAACAAGTTGCTGGAAGACTGCTCAGGTAAGCCTGCACTTTCCCACACATGGTGCTCTATAATGTATTGCTGGGATTTGTATTCCTCTATAGCTGATGGTACATTGTGCTGTATATTATACATAGGAATACAAATCCCAGCAATACATTATACACTGTATGTATAATGTATTGCTGGGATTTGTTGTACTCTGGTGGTACAAAAACCCAGCAATAGTACATTATACAGCACAATGCAGAATACCACCAGCTATAGAGGAATACAACAAATCCCAGCAATAGTACATAATAGCTGGCGGCATTCTGCATTGCGCTGTATAATGTACTATTGCTGGGTTTTGTAGTCCTCTATAGCTGGTGGTATTCAGCATTGTACCACTTTATAATGTATTATTGCTGGGATTTGTTGTACTCTTCTATAGCTGGTGGTATTCTGCATTGCGCTGTATAATGTATTATTGCTGGGATTTGTAGTCCTCTATAGCCGGTGCCATTCTGCATTCATTGCTGTATAATTTTACACTTTCCATTTCACTATATTGCACACCACACTATTTTTTTTTTTTTTTACTTCCACCGCTCCAAGCTTGCTCCTGTGATGGACTACAACCTCAATACAAACTAGTAGTCCATCACTGGAGCCATTTTTTAAAATGTATTTTATTTTTTATCCGATTAACCGATTAATCGAACTTAATAATCGGCTAACTAATCGATTTTGAAAATGATCGTTAGCTGCAGCTCTAGTGAAATCGGGTCACACAAAGCCAACAGACATCCCTGTCTGTCAGTTTTCCCAGCGTCCACTGAAGGTAGCCATACACGGCCTGCATTTTGGTGATTCCTGCTGAATTGGTTGAAATTCTAACTGTGGGTGTCCCTGTCAGCGCCACAAAACTTTACTGAAAAAGCGAAGGAGCCGGGTGAAGAATTGTAGGTTGAACTGTGACAGCGTCCAATCAGATGCAGTCACTGTTCGACTATTCAGACAGTTGCGTGTTCTGGCTGTCAAAATATAATTGCTGGCAGGGGAGGTTCCCCACATCCATGCTGATTATCATAGAGGAGGGAATGAGAGAAATCTAGCTGGGTAAGGCCAGTAGTGATGGGTCTGGGCTTGGGGTGAACCCAATTTACCTGAATTCACCCAAAACCGCTTTAAATTGTGACTGACACCCCCCCCGGCCCAATCAGTTGTAGCAAGGACATTTCCCACCCCTTTGTGATGTGTAGCTGCAGGTCCAGGAATGCCCTGCCACAACCTATTGGGCAAGGAAAGGGGGTATCAGTCATAGTTTTCACCAAGCTCCTGCTCATCACGAATGTCCAGCTTATTGCGCTTACAGCTGGCTGATTGACAGCGGGCTCTGCCTATCTGGAGGCAGAGGCAGCTATGCTCGCCCTCTTCCCCGTCCGTTCCTCCAGTCAGCGTTGGAGGATTGAAGAGGGGAGGAGGGCATCCCTGCGGGGATCGGTGACTGACAGATAAATTATCGGGTAGTTGGGGAGCGGCTGTATTTTGTTTCTCACCTCTGATCCATAGAACCGACGAGTGACCGTTTCAATGTTACACGTCGGCTCTAACTATGGGGATGAGTGTAATTCACTCACCCCATAGTTCTCCTTTAGGACCTCATTCTCACGGGTGTGTTGCCTCGTACAGCGTGATGGGCCAGTTTTTGTTGCGTTTGGAGCAGTGGGAAGAAGCGTACGGGCCGTTCATATAGGTCTATTAAGACAGATGAGCTGTGTGCCCTCCCACACTGCTTCCTGCAGCTCTAAAGTTTGACAACTGTACGCACACATAATGGATCTAGGTCTGGGCACCGTCTGTGTGCGGCTGTCAAAACTCAGATCTGCGTGAAGCAGCGTGCAAGGGGGCACAGCTCCTGCGTCTCCATAGAGTTACATGAGCTGCCCGAATGCTTCTTTATGCAGCTCTGTATGCATCAAAAAATGTGTCTTCACGCTGTATGGGGCTAAACACCCCGTGTGCATGAGGCCTAATACTGCAAGCTGCGGAAAAACCCCAAGCCCCACACTCATCTCAGTAGGTGGTAAAAAGCCCCTCTCTCCGGGTGTTAATCAGAGCTAGCTTCTTGTAAGTCACAGCTGACTATAATATACTATAATGGGCCTACAAGGCAATACACCAGAAACAGATCATCTGAAAAAACAAATGACAAAAGGAAGCCCAAGAGCAGCAGGCAAGTGAATGGCATAGGGCTAAAGCAGATGGAGACATAAAATACATCAAAGACTAACAAGCCACTTTTTAATAAGTAAATTAATGACCCATCTGTAATCAAGCCCTAGAGGCATTCTGGAGTGAAGTTTATAGATCCTCTTGTTTCAGAAGCTCATGGTGCAAGTCGCCTCCTCTGCAGGTAAACATAACCCTCTCAATGCCATGGAAAGAAAATGTAGGCATATCACTCTTATGAGGAATTAAGAAATGTTTCGAGGCATTGGAAGGATGAGAAGCTAAAGGGTTCTGGCTCCTGCAAAAATGCTAACCAATCCTAGTTCCCACTGCGCAGGTACTAGTGCTCGGACAAGGTCCTTTAGCACCCAAGGCAAAAAGGTGAAAGAGTTTCCTTGTGTACATGAACTGTGATATACTTCAGTAGAATGGGTTGCAGGTCCTGCTCTTTTTTTTATTATTATCCCCCAATGCCTAAGAACCCAAAGCAGCCACCTCTTCTGCCTACCCCCTAGTGGCCCTGGCGGGTACTAAAGCCTACATAGTGTCGGGAGAATGCCAGGCACCCCACTATAATGGCATATACACTGAGTGGCCAGATTATTATGACCACCTGACGTTTGTAGGCAAATTAGCTATAATTTTGCGCTGAAGTTGCTAGAGGGCCAGACCATTGTAAATAGGGAAGCAGGTTGTTTACCACGACAGTAGAAGTGATTTTTTTCTGAAGATATGGGTAAACAACGCGATTTAACAGCCTTTGAACGTGGGATGATTGTTGGCGCTCTGAGCCATGGAGCGAGTATCAGCAAAACAGCAGAATTCGTTAAATGTTCAAGAGGGGCTCATTGTTAAAGTGTTTAAAGACTGGACTGTCAGCCGAAAATCTGGGTCTGAACGTGCGAATTGTGGCCGTCAGCGACTAGTCAATGTTAGGGCAGAACGGAGAGTGGCAAGACTGGTACAAGACAACAGAAGGGCAACAGTGCAGTGTAGATTCCTCGCATCACCTTTCAACATCTCGTGGAGTCACGAGGCGGCCCAACAAAGTCATCTCGTGGAGTCATCTCGTGGCCCAACGAAGTACTGATGGGGTGGTCATAATGATCTGGCCACTCAGTGTAGACAACCAACATTTAAACAAGCCTTTGGTCAAACTGGTTGTTTCTTCTTGGTTGGTTCCCTAAAATAAGACAATGATCCAAGTGTAGGGGTTTTCCTGCTAGAAAAACAGAATTGTTATATTACCATACAAGATTCATAGTTTTTTTTTTCTATTAATATCAACTATTTTTAACCCTTTACATTAGGTAGTAAGAAATGTAGGTAGGACATCCAGTGTAGCATCTATTCTCTTCTGCCCCCAAAAGTGGTGTTCTCTTCCAATTCAGGGCTAGTCTTTTGCCTTCATAATAGACAAATCAGGATGAAACACTTTTTCTTTTGTATTATTACATTTATGTCTCATTATTGCGTAGTTTTACTATGCCATACTGAGTGGTCAGGAGACCACGCTGACGAATAAGCGTTTGCTGTGTGTGAGCAAAATTCTAAATCCAGAGGGCAGGTCTACACTACACATCAGTACGGGGTTACAGATAGTACACTGGCAGAGGGGAAGGAGTGTTTGCTGAAGGGTAAGTATCGTGGGGGAGGGGGCCAAATTCACCTGCACAGCCCCTGCACGTACCTTATTGGAATGGTGGATGAAGCGGTGAGGTTTTTTTTTCTTTTTTGTTTTAATGCATTATAGGTATTTTATTTGTTTGATGAGGGATCAGGGAACACTACTTGATCATATTCATGTGATACAGAAACTCCAAATACATAAGATTAATAGGGTATTCCCAACAATGTGTTATTTGTATTATATTACACAAGATGTATTAGCATACAGTAATCTGCTTCCATATCTAACCGCAAACTGATCAGGTTATCATTAGGGTGGAAAAAAGTGTCAACACATTGCATAGATGTGAATGAGCACCATTTTAACCACTTCAAGACCAGGTGTTTACACCCCCTTCCTGTGCAGGCCATTTTTCAGTATTCAGCGCTGTGGTACTTTGACTGACGTTTATTCCGTCATGCAACGCTGTACTGAAATGAATTTTATATCATTTTTTGGGGGACAGATAGAGCTTTATTTTGGTGATATTTAATCACCACTACGGGTTTTATTTTTTACTATAATTAGGAAAAATGACTGAAAATGTTGGGAAAAAAAAAGTTTTTTTTTACATTATGTTAGGAAACATTTGTTATTACCCAGTTTTTTGGTAAAATATAAAAGTCGGGGTCACGTCGGTTAAATAGACACCAAACATGTCAAGCTTTAAAATTGCGCGCACCCGCGACGTCGCAGAAAACTACCATACCCAAAATTGGCCATAGGCGACACTTTAAAAGCTGTTACCGCTCATCAGTATAGTGTTATCAGTGATTGATGGCCCTAGACCTATTGCTCTCACTCCGATGTTCGCGGCGATATGTTACATGTGCAGCGTAATGGGCGCAATCGTCTTTTTTGCACGTATGCGCCCCAACGCATGTTTGCATGCGTGTATGTATGGGTGGGGACTTTTACATTTTTTTATTTTTTTTAATTCTTTTTTATGTGTAACTTAAAATTTTTGAGGGACTTTAATTTTTTTTTCCTTTACTAAACTTTATTGCTATGACATACGGGGGCTAATTAAACCCACCTATGTGATAGCAAAATATGTGACAGGTCCTCTTTATGGAGACATCAGGGGTAGCGGTGCGCGCGAGGGGGCGTGTCTGAGTGGACGTCTAAAGACGCCCGCTCAGATCTAGAGATCTCCGGGCCGGCCGTTTTTTACTACGGCCGGCCCGGAGGCAGTTAAAGAATGCTTTTTGCCATGTCGTGCCTTTCTATACGTAACACATAGGTGTGCAGATCTGTTACCGAACTGAACTTCTGTTACTGAACTGATCGGATTTGTTCATCTCTGTTCACAACCTCTGCTGTTGTTTTTATACAGTTCAAATTTGTGACTGTCTTTTCTTCCAGGTTCACTGCCTTCTGCTGTGAAGATGATTCGTAGAATACCTCTCGGTCAGATGTTTGTGGCAATGCTGGTCGGAGTTGCTGGTGGACTATATATTTATCGGCCACTTATTGAAAAGCATGTGTATGAACAGAGACAGCTAAAAACGGACGTTAAAGTTACTGCTGTTGAAGAAAATAAATAACACCGCTTGTTCTGCTATTGTGTTATGGAATCGGAGAAACCAATTATCTTCATCATACATGTCTTGTAAATCAGTGTGACAGTGTAGTTATACTATGCTATTAAATTAGTCATTTTTACACTTGTTAGTGCATTTACCAGTTACTTTAAAGTGACATTAAAGTCAAAGTTTTTTTCCCCCCTTCTCAATCCTGCTGTAGGGACTTACCTTATGATGTGACTTACCTAATGATGTCTCTTATTCCAATCATCTTCTTTCCTGTCCTTTTTCAGCTGTCCCTCAAGCGCTGGTGCGGGTCTCCGATGCGTCGTTGACTCCTCTGTCCTCCTCTCCTCTGACGTCCCGCGGTGCCTGTGTGGGTGCACGATGCTCCATACACTTACCTTGTGTCTCTCCTCGTCTCCCGGCCGAACATCTGAAGCGCGCATTCGCCCGGCCCATGATCCTTTGTGGCCGCCCGATAAATTTTCAGATGTTCGGCCAGGCGCACGAGGCGGAGACACAGGTAAGTATTAACCCTTTGAAAAATGTTTTTTTTTAAATGCTTTTGCATATATCTACTGTTGCTAGCAATGGATATATGCAAAAACATGGAAGGGTTTAATAACCCTTTAATAATCGTAAGTAAGGGACAAAATTATGGTAAATGATTGTCCTGGCTTAAACTTGCATGATAATATGTGCAGTACATGAGTATACACCTCTGTTGGCTGCCAAATTGTAGGAAAACACAATAGTGATTGACTGGAAACCTCTCAAGCCCGGTATACACTCTTCTATTTTTGTTGTTCAACCTGCGGGCTGAACGAATACAAAGGATTCCTCCATCAAAGCTCGTAAACCCCCAAACAGAGCTAGTAGCTGGTTGGCTGCTACCACCGTTCAGTTGAGAATTTTCCAACCAGCTCCTTCGATCAGCTGATCAAGGAATACGGGGGAAGACAGTGGCAATACAAATGAGAAAACTAAACCTGAGTATGTAGTCCATCACGGGAGCGTGCTTGGAGTGGTGGCTACTTTACAACACACACAGGGACCAAGGGGAACAAAAGTAGCCACCCTCCAGAAGGAAGGACAGTATCAGCACCAATTCAGAGATGATTTGAGGATCTACAGCCGAGTGATACATTAAAAGGGTACATTTTTTGTTAATAGTTAAGGTAACTGAATACATTTTTAAGGTTTAACAGACACTTGCCTGATGATGGGTAAGCACCATTTCATATATAAAACAAATGTTGACAAATGCCAGCGTATGTTATTTGAAATTGCAAATGTGCTTTATAGAGTTAAAGTATTTTCACATCTGTCCCACATCGCATGTTGCAATGTTAGGTGCACCGTGGTGCCAATATTTCACTGCATGTGCAGTGTATCACACTACATCACAGGGTACCTATTACCATGCCATAAGGTATGATGCGATTTAAAAAAAAAAGGGTGCAATTTAGCAGTGCTATTGGATTGGTGTCATTTGAATGGGCTGCCGACCCCAACAGATCACAAGTGCAGCCTGCAGCACCTCTGCGATGTCACAATGCAGAGGTGTAAATTAGGGCAAAAAGGCCATAGTAAGACAGCAAATAGTAAGGGGTAACTACCATGGCATTTACTTCTTTTTAAAATAATTCTGTACCTTTTTTAATGTTTAATATGTGGTAATGTTACCACGCAGCCTCCTCCGAATGGTCACTGCTAATTCACAAGCCTGTAGGTCATCAATCAGCACCTGACCACACTGTGAGCTGTAGTGTCTGGTAGGGGGAACCTACCTGAGACACAATTCAAGCACAAAAGAGAATACAAGGAGTCGGGGAAGGTGCATTTTTTGTCTATACATATCTCTGTTTATGAGGCTTGTGCATCACATAGTAACTGGATCTGGGACTTGATTAGATCATCATACAGGAACCTTAGTTGTATTTGAATGTATATCTAAAATATATTTTACATTTTTTAACTATGTTTTGAAATTGCAGCATGCATACCAGTACACAGTCTGTACAGGCGGTTTTCTTACCAGCGCATCCCTAACCCTGTGGGACG